TTTTAAGTATACATTCAAGCAATTCCAATTTATTTGCTTGGCCTTATTTCGACTTTCTACTTGGTTTGCTAATGTATCGCAATCTCTGAGGTCCTTTATTTTCTTAATCCAGTCTTCGTTCGTTGGAACTTCTTTGCTTTTCCATTTTTGTGCTATTAGGATTCTAGCCGCCGATGTTAGATGGAACATAATTTTTTCTTCATTTTTCTTCAGCCCCAAGTCGGTTATATTTAAAAGATAATATTCGGGTTTAAGGTTAAACTTTAATTTCATGATATTTTGTATATGTTTGTGAATCATTATCCAAAACTTTTTAATCCTCTTACAATCCCAATATAAATGAAAGTATGTTCCAGGCTCTTTTCCACATTTCCAACATTGAGTATTATGACTGTTACTAAATTTAGCTATTTGAACAGGTGTCAGATGCCATCTGTAGAAGACTTTATACCAATTTTCCACTATACTATTGGCTCTAGTGTATTTCAACTTAGTCTTCCACACTTGTTCCCATTCATTTAATAAAATAGAATGCCCTATATCCCTGGCCCACTTAACCATATTCTCTTTCACCAGCTCCTTCTCGTTATTCCATTCTAATAGCTTTTGATATAAGATTCTAATCGTTTTTTTATCTTTTTTCATAATCGCGTCCCAGCAAGATTCATTCTCACTGATCCCGACCTTTTTATCTTCTTTTAGGCACTCTTTAATTTGCATGTATTGTAGCCAATTCATTTCATTATCTACTTTCTTCAGCTCTTCCATAGGTTTCAGGAGCCACTCATTGTTAATTTTAACTAGTAGCTGCCTATAACTCAACCATCTTTTTTTTGGTAGTTCTCTTTTATGAAATGCCTCTCCTGGTGATATCCACAGGGGTATTTTTGCATAAAAGTACTCTTTATATTTATTCCAAATCCTTAACAGGGGGCCTCTAATATAATGATTTGAAAAATTCTTTTCTATCTTAGCTTTCCCGTAGCAAAGATAAGCGTGCCACCCTCGTCTGACGTCGTACCCTTCAATAGTTAATATTTTTTTTTGCTCTAAGGTGGCCCAAATTTTTACCCATGAGAGTGAGCATGCTTCATAATAAACCTGCATATCTGGCATAGCCATTCCTCCTCTACTTCTTGCGTCAGTGAGATACTTCATCTTTATCCTTACTTTCCTCCTATCCCATATAAATTTTAATATCTCCTTGTTCCATTTTTGGAAACATGTATTTGATTTAATAATCGGTATCATTTGAAACAAGAATATTAGTTTGGGTAGCACAGACATTTTGATAGCTGAGATTTTCCCTAGTATAGATAAATTCAGATACTTCCAATTGTTAAATTTCTTCCTTATGTTGTCCCACAATTTCTCATAATTATCTTTAAATAAATGTATGTTTGAGGATGAAATTGTAATGCCCAGGTATTTGGTTTTTTTAACCACTTCTATTCCGGAATTCGAGAATATTTTTACCTTTCTTTCTTCCTTGACATTTTTTGTAAGGATCTTTGTCTTATTTTTATTTATCTTGAGCCCCGCCAGTTTGCCAAATTCTTCAATTTTGGCAATCCATTTTGTAACCATTTCTACCGGGTTTTCTATAATGCAAACTACATCGTCCGCGAAAGCCAACGTTTTGTAGTCTTCTGCTCTTACTCTAAGACCTTTTAATTCCTTACTCTTTCTTAAATCTTCTAATAGGACTTCCAATACCAATATAAATAAAAGGGGAGAAAGGGGGCAACCTTGTCGTACTCCTCTTTGTATGTTGATCTCTTCTGTGCGGATGCCATTAACTAGTACCTTAGCAGTTTGTCTGGAGTACATAGTCCCCACTGTATTCAGTATTGGGTAACCTATGTCCATTTCTCTCAATAATAGTAACAAAAAATCCCAGTTCGTTTGATCGAAAGCTTTTTCTGCGTCCAAGAAGAGCAGACCCACTTCTATTTGATGATTTTTTTCATAATACTCTATAATATTAAGTATTGTTCGGACATTGTCCCTCATCTGCCTTCCTGGCAAGAAACCTCTTTGATCCTCTTTAATTTTTTCTCTTAATAGAGCTTTGAACCTTTCCGCTATTATACTTGTAAATATCTTACAGTCACAGTTTAAAAGAGAAATAGGGCGATAATTTTTTAATTTAGTTGTCTCGGTGTTTTCTTTATGTCTTCTAAGGTCACCCATTCTTTAATCCAATCAAAACAGCATGTGTGAAAATAGAGTTGGAGATTCGGAAGAGAAAGACCGCCTCTTGTAGTTTTTAAACTACAGATTACCTTCCTGGTTCTCACTACTCAACACAACCAGCCTCTCCTACATTTCACAAACTGTAGTAGACTGTTTTTAAATGGCTACCCTGCCAAGTGGCAGTTGGCTCCGCCCCTGTTTCCATGGTAACCCAGCTCAACATGAGCTGAGCTGGCTACCATCCCCCTTAGTTATGCAACATTAAATACTTGCCCTTTAAAACACCTATCTATAACTATACATAACTGCAAGTTAAAAATTTACACTTCACCACAGGAACATATATACATATGTGGTGTAAATGTAAATATGTAAGTGAACTTTGGGGGAAAGCTTTTTAGAGACAGAGAGGATATTATGATTATAAAATTAGAAAGAAGTTCTAGTATTGCTTTGTTATCATTATATGACAACAAACAGTTGAAAAAAGAGGAAATACATGTGATATCTAATCTACTAACAGTAGCAAGATTGCTTATAGCAAGGAATTGGAAAGGACATGAAGTCCAGTCGTGTCCAACTCTGAAGGTTGGTGCTCATCTCCATTTCTAAGCCGAAGAGTCGGCGTTGTCCGTAGACACCTCCAAAGTCATGTGGCCGGCATGACTGCAAGGAGCGCCATTTCTGGACTTGTTGCATAGCATTCTGTCTTGCTTTTCTCTTCCCTGCAGATGGTGATGCTGTAAAGAACGGGACCACAAAGACACATTCTCAGCACGCAGCCTCTGAGTTGGCATCACAGCATGACAAGGTGATGCTTAATGCTGAGACGCAAGGTGCCAAGCAAGACTTGGAGGCTCACCCGCTTGAGAAACCGATAAAGACGGAAGCGGCATCTCTCCCTGATGGAAACGACGTGACTGATGTCAGCCAGCTTAAGATTGTGCAAGTTGAAAAGAAGCACGTGTGCCACGAGTGCGGCAAAGCCTTCCAGTACAAGTTTGAACTGGTGAAGCATCACCGGACCCACACGGGGGAGAAGCCGTTCGAGTGCCTGGCGTGTGGCAAGCGGTTCTTCCAGAGCACCCACCTCAATGCGCATCTCCGCATCCATACGGGGGAGAAGCCTTACGAGTGCCCCAAGTGTGGTCGGAGCTTCAACCGCCGTTCCACCCTTACTGAACACCTGAGAATCCACACAGGAGAGAAGCCCTACAAGTGCCTGCAGTGCGGGGAGAGCTTCCGGTGGAGACCCTACCTGACCAAGCATCAGAGGATCCACTTGGGGGACAACGCCTACAAGTATTTTGACAGTGGGGAAAGCCTCTACGACAGCTCGTCCTTTCCTGAACACCCAGAAGGAAACCATCCAGGTGGGGAAGATGTAAGAGAAAGCTCGCCAGTGGTTCAGATCTGAAGGGCCTTCTTTGCACACAGAAGGTCTTATGTTCCCTGTATTAGGAATCTGAAGCCTTTTAGATATTGAAGGACCACCCATGTTCTGGAGATCCCCAGATTGGAAGACTACAGGTTGCCTATCCATGGAATTTGCAGTTTTGACCCTTGGGAATTTGATTATTTATAGATTATTTATAGATAGGATTAAAAAAAAATCTCTCTAGATACTTCAATGTGATTTCGTGGCCAACTTCCAGTCATGAATGCATTTCTAGAGTAAACACCTTGCTAGGAACCTCTAAGTCTGGGCTGCACAATTCGGCAATAGTAAGGGCCCAATATTAAAATAGTCTAAACTTCTTCAGGCCATTCTGCTTTCTCCTCACTTAGTCTTGATCAGCGTTTCTCAACCTGAGGGTCAGGACCCCGGGGGGGGGGGGTGTTAGAGGGGTCACCAAAGACCACTAGAAAACTTTTTTGTTGGTCATGGGGGTTCTTTGTGGGAAGTTTGGCCCAATTTTTTCATTGGTGGGGTTCAGAATGCTCTTTGATTGTAGGCGAACTATCAATCCAGCAACTACAACTCCCAAATGTCAAGGTCTATTTTCCCCAAACTCCACCAGTATTCACATTTGGGCATATTGAGTATTCGTGCCAAGTTTGGTCCAGATCCATCATTGTTTTCAGTCCACAGTGCTCTCTGGATGTAGGTGAACTACAACTCCAAAACTCAAGGTCAATGCCCATCAAACCCTTCCAGTATTTTCTGTTCGTCGTGGAAGTTCTTTGTGCCAAGTTTCATTCAATTCCATTGGTGGCGTCAGAATGGTCTTTGATTGTAGGTTAACTATAAATCCCAGCAACTACAACTCTCAAATGTCAAGGTCTGTTTCCCCCAAACTCCACCAGTGTTCATGTTAGGACGTAGTGAGTATCTGTGCCAAGTTTGGTCCAGACCCATCATTGTCTGAGGCCACAGTGCTCTCTTGATGTAGGTGAACTACAGCTCCAAAACTCAAGATCAATGCCTACCAAACCCTTCCAGTATTTTCTGTTGGTCATGGGACTTCTGTGTGCCAAAACAGGTTCTATTCCATCATTGATGGAGTTCATATTGCTTTTTGATTGTAGGTGAACTATAAATCCCAAACTCAAGGTCAATGCCCACCAACCCTTTTGGTCATGGGAGTTCTGTGTGCCAAGTTTGGTTCAATTCCATTGTTGGTGGAGTTCAGAGTGCTCTTTGATTGTAAGTTAACTATAAATTCCATCAACTACAACTCCCAAATGACAAAAATCAGTCCCCTTCCCCATCCCCACCAGTATTCAAATTAGGGTGTATTGTGTATTTGTGCCAAATTTGGTCCAGTGTATGAAAATACATCCTGCACATCAGATACAGTGGTCCCTCACTTGTCGCAGGTTTTACGTTCCTGGACCACCCGCGATAAGTGAAATTCCGTGATGTAGGGACGCCCCCTCACCTTCCCCCCTCGCCTTCCTTACCTTCATTCTCCTCCTCTTCGCCGCCTAGGGTCTCATCCTGCAGCACCGCATGGGGCCCAAGTGGCAGGAAGAGGCCTCAGGTGGCCAAGAGGAGGAGGAGGAGGAAGGTAAGGAGTGTGAAATTCTTTAAAAAACAACAACACTGTAACAGGCAGTAAGAGCACCTAAAGCTTCAAAGAGCTTCTATTCAACCATTTCAAAACTCCCCGCTTGGGCGGTGATGGCACGATCATCAGCATAGATGAAAACTCTGTGTCCCTTCTGGCAGTGACTGGTTATTTGTAGTTCAAGCTGCATTAATTCTACAATACAGATGCACTCCATGAATCTTTCCAAGCAACTTGTCTTCCTCATATACGTCAGGAGAAAAATTGCCTCCAGAACATGGCCATATAGCCCAGAAAAACCTACAACAACCCACTTCCTCATATACTTTCTGTCAACACCAACAGAGAGTCATTCGTTCCTTCCAACCATTCATTTAGGTTTGTGGAATGATGTGTTGTCCTCTATGCCAATTGAATTCAAGTGTTTGATTTTTGTCTATCCACTTCAATCTTTTTTATTATTGTTACTATCAAATAGAGTAAAAATTATCAGAAGGTGGTTGCTCCATTTCTGAATTTTCTTTTTTTGTCAGGGGACAGCGGGACAATTGAGCACTTAAAGGAAAACTCTCAACAGAGAGGCCTTGAAATGGAGGAATCAGGGGTGTTTCCAGCCGATTCCAGTAGAGAAGATTCCCCAAAGTCTAGAGCAATCGCTGGTAATGGACGTGAATCCTTCAAATACTCAAGAAAGGAATGGTATGTCTGATCTAGAGTTTCCTAGAGATAGATAACATTCTAGTCAAATCCACAAATACTGTATTTCTTCAATTCTAAGATTCACTTTTGATCCAGTATAGAGATCCCAAAAAATGTGGTGCATCTTAGAATCACAGATATATATTATGTATTTATGTTGTTGGTAGTGTGGTGTTAAAATTAAGATGTAAATAAAGTAATTAAATCTACCTGTAGTCCAGCCTGTAAATGTGGAGGGTCAACTGTAATCCCTAGACCAAGCTTGGGCAAAATGTTTTGGACTACAATTCCCACAATTCCGGCTGTTACGAATTGTGGGAGTTGAAGTCCAAAATATCCGGAGGGCCAAGCCTGCCCTTGACAGCCCAGGTACCATATATACTCAAGTTTAGGCTGACCCGAATATAAGCCGAGGCACCTAATTTTACCACAAAAAACTTGGAATATGTATTGAATCAAGTATAATCTGAGGGTGGGAAATGCAGCAGCTACTGGTAAATTTCAAAATAAAAATAGATACCAATAAAATCACATTAATTGAGGCATCCATAGGTTAAATGTTTGTGAATATTTACATAAAACTGTAATTTAAGATATGACTACCCAACTCTGATTAAACCATTATTCTAGCCTTCTTCAATGTAAATGTGCTGACGTATCCTTCCAATAATAATAGAGTAAAATAATAAATGTAATAAAAATAATAATGGAGTAAAATAATAAATATAATAATAACGACAACAGTAATAAAGTAAAATAATAAATGTAATAAGAATATTAAATAGAGAAAAACAATAAATGTAATAATATTAATAAAGTAAAATAATAAATGTCAAAAAATAAAGAAAAACAGTAAAATAGCTCTGTAAGTAAAAAAGGAGGGTCAGTAAAAGCAATATGGTATTGACAATAGCTTAATAATAATAATAATAATAATAATAATAATAATAATAATAGAAAAGTCGACAGCAGATCCCAAATGTAGACTCTGCAAGGAATCAGCTAAAACAATAGATCACATCCTCAGCTGCTGCAAGAAGATTGCGCAGACAGTCTACAAGCAGAGGCATAACACCATTGCTCAGATGATTCATTGGAACTTGTGCCACAAATACTATCTGCCTGCGACAAAGAACTGGTAGGACCACAAGTCTGAAAAAGTTCAAATCAAATCATTTATTTCAGTCATTGACCAGCACAACTGAAAAAGTTACAGAAAATGAACACATCAAGCTACTCTGGGACTTCCGAATTGAGACAGTCAGAGTTTTGGAGCACAATACCCCAGACCTCATGATCATGTTAAAAAACAAAGTATGGATTGTTGATGTTGCAATCCCAGGCGACAGCAGGATTGAAGAGAAACAACTGGAAAAGCTGACACATATGAGCATTTATAGATCGAACTGCAAAGACTCTGGCACAAGCCAGTCAAGGTGGTCCCAGTGGTGATCGGCACACTGGATGCAGTGCCTAAAGACCTTGGCCTGCACTTAAACACAATTGGCACTGACAAAATTACCATCTGCCAGCTGCAGAAGGCCACCTTACTGGGATCTGCACACATTATTTGCCGATACATCACACAGTCCTAGACACTTGGGAAGTGTCCGACATGTGATCCAATAAACAGCCAGCAGAGTGTCTGCTGTGGACTCACCTTGTTGTGTTTCAAATAATAATAAATAGAGAAAAATAATAAATGTAATAATATTAGCAGAGTAAAATAATAAATGTCAAAAATAATAAAGAAAAACAGTGAAATAGCTCTGTAAGTTGAATAGTAGGGTCAACAATATCAACAATAATAATAATAATAATAATAATGATAATAATTCATCTCCTCATGGGGACTTGGGCCGGCTTCTAACATTCAATGCCTATATAAACAATGCAGAGCTAGATATAGATCTAAATTATATTACTAATTTCACATATGCATTTCCCCCTGAAACGTTTGCAAATCCCCTCTCTATATATGTGCATTTCCCTCCTGCAATAAGCAGATTATCCAGATTATAAAATAAGATAATCCACATTATCTGCTTTAAACTGGATTATATGAGTCTACACTGTCATATAATCCAGTTCAAAGCAGATTTTATATGGCAGTGTAGAAGGAGGCTGAGTCTTCCTTGCCTAAGAAAGCCCCATGAATTGCCATAAATTGATGAGTGACTTGAAGGCATATCCACATGTACTCCAGTTTTACGTGATTTCTCCTTTTTCTCTCTGTCTCACAGATGGGTTACAATACAGACACTCCAGCCTTCAGACTCCTTGTTTCACCTCTGAATGTTGAATTTGTTGGAAAAGGAGCCTACATTGGGAAAAGGTCTACAGCCCGTGCACAGCCTTGTTCCGGCGGAAAGAAAACAGACTGCCAGAGATGAAATGCACTTTGGGATAATCTCTGTGAAAAGGCTTAAGAGTGCATCTACATTGTAGAATTAATGCAGTTTGACACCATTTTAACCACCATACCTTAGTGCTCATGGGAGTCGTCGTTTTGTGAGTCATGGGCTAAAGTAAAGAAAGCTAAAGATCCTGCAAAACCACAACTCCCAGGATTCTATAATATTGAGCTACAGAAGTTAAAGTGGTGTTAAACTGCATTAATTCTACAGTGTGGATGCACCATTAGAGAATTCTTAGGTTTTTCTTCTACCAGTATTAACAGCCACTCTCTCCTCAAATCTATATGAATCACATGGATTGTGGAGGAAGTTCCTTAACTAAAAACATTAACATTTTAATGTTTTATCTTTATTACAAAACAAATGTGTTAATTCATGTGCATGTGTTGTCGCCCAGAAATAGGCTAATATTATGATCCTACTATTTGGCATACTATAAGCGACCTGGTGGTGCAGCAGGTTAAACCGCTGAGCTGCTGAACTTGCTGACTGTAAGGTGGGTGGTTCGAACCGGGGAAGTGGGGTGAGCTTCTGCTGTTAGCTCCAGCTTCTGCCAACCTAGTAGTTCAAAAACATGCAAATGTGAGTAGATCAATAGGTACCACATCTCCAGGAAGGTAACGGTGCTCCATGCAGTCATGCTGACCACATGACCTTGGAGGTGTCTATGGACAACGTCAGCTTTTCGGCTTAGACATGGAGAAGAGCGCCAACCCCCAGAGTCGGACATGACTAGACTTAATGTCAAGGGAAAACCTTTACCATACCTTATTAAGCAAAAAGCTTCTCAAAATGTCACTCAAGCTAAGGCTATGTGCAGTCTACTGCTGATCTGCAAAATTCAAACAAAAATAATATAGAGATGCCATTCACCTTGAATTCTAGCCTAGGAACCTTGAAAATGCCAAGTTCCAGAATCTGATAAATCAGAGCGTTAAAACATGGTTATGTGCAGTCAAGAGATAGCAGTTCAGCCGTTCAGTTAGTCACCTGCAAGTAAGCTTAAATATGTAGCTAAGCAGAATCTGTTATGCAAAAATATGCAAATGCACTTATTTGCCACATCCAGACACAGTCCTCAGCTGTGTTGCTGACATCCCTGCGATTTTCCTGATTCTTGGCAGGGGGTTGGACTGGATGGCCCATGAGGTCTCTCCCAACTCTATGATTCTATTAAGGTAAACAACTTAATTCATCTGGATTCATATCAACCCCCTGAGGCTGAGATGCACTATCCAAATCAAGCCTGCCGTTGAGTTGGTTTGCAGTTATCCCTCCATGTTTGCGGGTTTGACTTTTGTGGATTTTATTACACTATGTAACAAAATGTGAAAAATTTTCTGTTCCTGGCTTGGAAGTATGATTTCCTATTTAATTGTGTGGTATTTACTTGTTATGCTCCAGAAACTTCATTTTTGTGGCTCCCACAAACTATGTTGAATTGGTTGAGACTCTATGATATATTGTGTTGTCAAAGACTTTCAGGGCTTCGACAACACAATATCAGGGCCAGCTAACACCTCCCAACAAAGGATTCCCCCAGGCAGGAAGTAGCCAGGCTTTGAAGCTGCAAGGCCATTAAATGCTAATCAAGGTGGCCAGTTGCAACATTCATACTTGTCTCCAACAAGCAAGAGTTCTTTCTCCCACCCTGGACATGCCACATATCTATAACCCCCCTTTTCATTCTACCCTCGTATATCTGTGGAATATCCAGGGCGAGCTAATCAACTCCCAACAAAGGATTCCCCCAGGCAGGAAGTAGCCAGGCTTTGAAACTGCAAGGCCATTAAATGCTAATCAAGGTGGCCAATTGCAACATTCATACTTGTCTCCAACAGACAAGAGTTCTTTCTCCCACCCTGGACATGCCACAGATCTATAAACCCCCTTTTCATTTAATCCTCATATATTTGTGGAACATCCAGGGCCAGCTAATCAACTCCCAACAAAGGATCCCCCCAGGCAGTAAGAAACCAGACCTTGAAACTGCTAGGGCATTAAATGCTAATCAGGGTGGCCAGTTGCAACATTCACACCTACCTCTGACAAGAGTTCTTTCTCCCACCCTGGACATTATTCCACAGATATACAAACCCCACTTGCCTAGTTTCCAAAAACCTCTGAGGATGCCTGCCATAGAGGTGGGCGAAACGTCAGGAGAGAATGCTGCTGGAACTTGGCCATACAGCCTGGAAAACACAAACCCATCTATGACATATTCATTGAAAAACTATAGCAAAATGTGCTGCAGAAGGTCCCTCCTGCAAAAACAAAAGTTTTTATAGTTTAACAAACTTTTTCAAAGTTTTTGTAATAGAATCAGTTAGGAAATGACATTTATAACCCAGGAACAACAATGTATTACATAGTGTTGTACACAGATTTGATTGAAAATGTTCTCTCTAGGAATCTCGAGGACTTCAGCGCAATGCTCTGTTCATGCTGGAAGAGTTAGAAATTCCTAGAGACAGCATATTATTTGAGAACACAGAAATGCTGGACCACTCTAACAACCGTAATGTCAGACTACACAGCGCAGCCATTTAAATCCATAAGTATGTGGACAATTTCAACAGAAAGGAGGAAACCATAAAAATGAACAAAATCTGATTATCAATGTTTAAAAACTCTAAAATCGGGACAGTAAATAAAGAATAACAGTGTGTTGTCGAAGGCTTCCATGGTCAAAATCACTGGGTAGCTGTGAGCTTTCCGGGCTGTATGCCTATTTTCCAGAAGCATTCTCTCCTGATGTTTCACCCACATCTATGGCAGGCATCCTCAGAGGTATTTGAGCTACACTCAAAAAACGGGAATTCCAGACAAGAATCCAATCAGCGCTAGCTAACACCTCCCAACAAAGATTGCAGATTTCCCCAGGCAGCAACCAGCCAGGCTTTGACGATGCAAGACCATTCAATGCTAATCATGGTGGCCAACTGCAATATTGACATTTGCTTTGAGCAGACAAGAGCTCTTTCTCCCATCCTGGATATTCCACATATATAAACCCCACTTGCCTAGTTTCCAACAGACCTCACAACCTCTGATGATGCCTGCCAGAGATGTGGGCAAAACATCAGGAGAGAATGCTTCTGGAACATGGCCAGATAGCCCGGAAAAGTCACAGGAACCCAGTGAATCTGGCCATGAAAGCCTTCGACAACACAATTCCTTTGAAGATAAAAAGTGGCAATTTATTTACGGCTTTTCACTTTCGTGGGGCTTCTGGGCTCCAAAACCTAGCAAATATGGAGGGTTAACTGTTTTTTTAGTTTGGTGACTAAAGAAGTGATCCTTATGTCTCACACAGTAAAAATCAGGGCATTATTTTCTGTTTTTACAACAGAAATGTTCACTTGTTGACATTGCTTTTCTTGCCTTTGTGCATAGCTTTCTGACCACTGAGGAATGATAGGTTGCAAAAAGTTGTTGTTCTCTGATCTCCAGTGCGGGGATCTATTGGTAGAAAAATAATCTCCCAAAAAGGAATTGTGGCAAAAAATTGCCCCATCGAAAGGGAACGGCTGGACACAAGCGGCCAGGACTTTACAATATTTCGCAATAATAGACAAAGTGTGATAGGGTTTTTTTTTCTTTTTTGAAAAAATAGAAGAAAGTTAACACTGAATGAGGTAAACTCAGCAACTATTATTATAACAAGGCACTAATATTTTCTTATTTCGGTTTCTTTTTCGTTGTTCCTTGTGTACATGCAGCATGTTCCAATTTTAGAATTGGGTTATAAATACGTTTATTTCTAGCATTCTTCATCTTGTTATTGTGCGCCTTCGGGTAGTTTCTGATTTATGGCGATCCTAAGGCAAACCTGTCACAAGGGGGGGGGTGGCCAAGTTTTGCTCAGCTTTGTCTTCCTTTGAGGTGGAGAGAGTGTGACTTCCCAAACTCAACCAGTATGTTTCATGACCGAGTTCCCTCGAGATTTATGACAGCAGGAGTACTGGATACATCATTTTACAATCCTGATCCCAGCTTTTTTTGCACTGTGTAAAGAAGTGTGATCAGAAGGTCAGGGGTTCAAATCCATGAGACAGGGTGAGCTCCCGCTTCTAGCCCCAGCTTCTGCTATCTGTGCAATTTACTGGCCAACTTACTTATCATCAAATTAACTGGAGCCCCCGGTGGCACAATGGGTTAAACCCAGGACTGAAGACCGACAGGTCGCAGGTTTGAATCCCGAGAGAGCGCAGATGAGCTCCCTATGTCAGCTCCAGCTCCCCATGCAGGAACATGACAGAAGCCTCCCACAAGGATGGGGAAAGGAAAAGGAAAGAACCTCACGGAGGATACCGGGAATTAAAAGCTCTACATGTTTACCTGCTTCACATTCCCCACTATTTTGGTCTCTATTCTCACACCCATCTATACACTCAACAACTACTATTTTTAAAAATTCCAAATATTCTAACTCTATACCTATACTTTTTATCTAAAACTATCGACTTTCCTATACCCTTATACCCTTTTTCCGCTTTATTCTGTCTTCTGTATTTTATTATTATAAAAATGTATCTTCTTGGGGTTTTTTCTCTTTTAAATTAAATAAAGATTTTTTTTAAAAAAAAGGATGGTAAAACATCTGGGCGTCCCCTGGGCAACATCCTTGCAGACGGCCAATTCTCTCACACCAGAAGCAACTTGCGGTTTCTCAAGTTGCTCCTGACATGGAAAAAAGATCCAACTGACTTCAGGCACAGTTGTTTCTGCTTCAGTTAATTGGATGAAAAGAAGCAAGTTGGCCAGCAAATTGCACTGCGAAGGGTTATGGGCCCAGCATGCTTCCACAGTTGGAAAACATGCAAATGTGAGTAGATCAATAGGTACCGCTCCAGTGGGAAGATAACGGTGCTCCATGCAGTCATGCCGGCCATATGACCTTGGAGGTGTCTATGGACAATGCCGACTCTTCGGCTTAGAAATGGAGATGATCATCACCATATCACCCCAGACTTAATGTCAAATGGAAACCTTTACCTTTTTTTTTAAAGAGGTGTGATTTTATTTTTTAATATTTCTTAACACTTTTGTTTGTTTTCCACAAACTTGATTTTTTTTTCTCCTTCTATCAATTTGGTTTTGAAGCTGCAATGGGAAGGTTATCAGCTGCTTGGTTGCAAATGAGAGCGGAAATTGTTTAGCTCTCCAGATATTGTTGAACCACAATCCCTAGCATTCCCCATTACTGGGTGGGTTACCCAGATGGAGATTTCCCCGTCACTGAGTGGGTGTAGTTCCCTGAAGGAAAAGCGGAAGTCGAAAAGTGTTAGGATGGAAAAGTTGGCAGTTCAAGCTCAGGTCGGGGTGAGCTCCCGCCATAAGCCCAGCTTCTGCTCACCAAGCAGGTAGAAAACAGCAATGTGAGTAGATAAATAGGTACCACTTTAAGCAGGGAGGTAATAAAAAGACACTCATAAGGACATGCCAGCAATTCGATCGGGAGGACTTCTACTGACAACAAAGCTCCTCAGCATGGAAGATGGCGCAACACCCCCTCCTGGTGGACAGAGACAATCACAACCTCCAGATGCCAGAGATGGAAAAAGAATTACCTCAAACGGGAATTCCTGACATAAAACCATCAGAGCCAGATAACACCTCCCAACAAAGGATTCCCCCAGGCAGGAAGCAGTCTGACTTTGAAGCTGCAAGGCTATTCAATGCTAATCAAGGTGGCCAATTGCAATATTCACACTTGCCTCCAGCAGATGAGAGTTCTCTCTCCCATCCTGCACATTTCACAGGTATATAAACCCCATTTCCCTAGCTTGCAACAGACCTTACAACCTCTGAGCATGCCTGCCATAGATGTGAGTGAAATGTCAGGAGAGAATGCTTCTGGACATGGCCATACAGCCCAGAAAACTCACAGCAACCCTGTGATTCCAGCCATGAAAGCTTTTGATAACATGTTGTTAGACCCCACTTTGAATCACTGTAGCAACCCAGTTTAAGTATTAATTATATGATGGAATTGAATGTTTGCTGTATATGTGTTCTGTAATCTGCCATGAGTCCCTTAGGAAGATAAAACAGAATATAAAGAAAGATTATTATTATTATTATTATTATTATTATTATTATTATTAGTATTATTATTTAGGGTTCCAGTGGTTCTCAATCTATGGCCTTCCAGGTATTTTGGTCTTCAACTCTCAAGAATATCCTCCAGGAAATAAAGCCCGACTGCTCATTGGACGGAAGGATACTAGAGACAAAGTTGAAGTCTTTGGCCACATCATGAGGAGACAGCAAAGCCTAGAGAAGACAATTATGCTGGGGAAAGTGGAAGGCAAAAGGAAGAGGGGCCGACCAAGGGCAAGATGGATGGATGGCATCCTTGAAGTGACTGGACTGACCTTGAAGGAGCTGGGGGTGGTGACGGCCGACAGGGAGCTCTGGCGTGGGCTGGTCCATGAGGTCACGAAGAGTCGGAGACGACTGAACGAATGAACAACAAGTCAATGGTCAACCATTCTGGGATCTGAAGTTCAGAACATCTGGGGAGATGAAGACTTGGAGACACTCCGCAGACCATAAGACAGGCATGAGCAAACTTCAGCCCTCCAGGTGTTTTGGACTTCAACTCCCACAATTCATAACAGTAGGCTATTAGGAATTGTGGGAGTTGAAGTCCAAAATACCTGGAGGGCCTAAGTTTGCCCATGCCTGCCATAATATAATCTCTCTGGGAAGGACATCAAGCAGAGGGCACTAATTGATATGTACAGTGAAGCCGCTTGGGACCTGGGTGAAATGGTCATGCAATTACCCTGGAAGTACATTGATCCGAACGAGAGGGAGAAGGAAACAATCATGATCCCTGGGAAAGCGAATGGCAGATATTTCCCAGTTTTTGAAAAGGTCCTGAAAGATCATGGACAAGATTTTCTAGTGGGGAATCAACTCAGCAGAGCAGATATCCAGCTGCTTGAGACCACTTTAGCAATAGAAGAGCTGAAGACCGAAGTCCTCTCCAAGTTTCCTCATTTAAAGGCTTTTAAAACAAGAATGAGCAACATTCCTAACATTAAGAAATTTCTTCAGCCTGGTAGTCCAAGAAAACCACCTGTGGATGAGAAAATGGTTGCAGAAGCAATCAAAGTTTTCTACTGAGTTGTTCTGCTGAAGACGGCGGCCAGTGTATTATTGTAACTTTTAGAAAGTGCAGAAATTCCAATTTCAAATTATTCTGAAGGGGTGCAATCATAAGATCTTGTAAATCCACATAACTGAGAAACTGTTATAATACTGTGTGCTATTACGCCAAATTGAGACGGGCCACTGTTTTCAAATCATTCAAAGGGGCTGCAGTCATACATAGGTCTGGGTAAATTCTCATAATTGCATTAGGAAACTAAATTAATAGTAAAACTGCAAAACCATCTAAGGAGAAACTACCATCATAGTGTATATCTGTTGAGGCGCTAATGATTGTTATACTGATGTTTAATTGTTTATGTTACAATTGTTTTTAACTGCTATATACTTGTCTTGTGATGTTTTGCATTGATGTTGTTAACCGCTTTGAGTCGCCTGAAGGCTGAGAAAAGCGGTATATAAATAAAGTAAATAAATAAATAAATAAATAAATGCAGTAAATATCCTGGAGAGACAGAAGCAGGTCCCCGAAGCCCTTGAGATCTTTTGGGTTACAAAACCCCATCACACCAGCCTTTGGCTATGCTGGTTGCACTAACTGGGAGTTAGTATGTAAAACCTCTGAAAGTAGAATATAGGATGAGTCTCTGCTATACACTTCAAGAGCATGGGTCTTGGGAGGTACACAATATACCTTTCTCCACATCCGCTGGCCAGAGAAATAGGATGGGTGACACCTGGCTTGAAAACGGTCCATGTGAAAGGTATCTAGGACTCTTAGTAGACCATAAGCTTGGACATGAGTCAACAGCTAGAGGGCACTGCCATTCTAGGCTGCATCCATAGGAGCCTAGCTTCTAGATCAATGTTTCTCAACTTTCCTAATGCCGTGACCTCTAAATACAGGTCCTCATGTTGTGGTGACTCCACATACCTTATGCATGTGAAGATGGTCTTGGATGATTTTTTTTCTACAGATCCCACACTACTCTTGACATTTTGGGCTAGGTGAGAAATAGTTACATGGCAATTTTCCAAAATGGCGACTTCCACGTGCTGGATAGTGTGTCAATCAATACCAGAGTGGGGTCACCCTGGAATTGGAGCTATTTGCATCGAAGTCCGACCACATTTGAATTGATGATGCCTGTTCTTGACTACCTCATACGATGGGGAATCATCACCATAAACCTCTTTCATTTCATCAAACGACTCCTTTGGGGTGAGGCCTTTCAAGTCAAGGAACTTGATGACTGCTCTGTATTCCACTGGGTCCATGATCAAAACTCACACTGTAATAAGAAATTCAATGTGCAGATTTGATAAATGTGAATTAAATGATGTGTGGGAATGAATGGAAGAATAGAAGGATGAAAGGAGGGAGTTAATAATTTTGGAGACACCAGTATAATATTAAGGCCTGCAATGACTGACTACTTGCTTGCTGGACTGTAATTAAAAGTTGCTAATAAGAATTGAAAACTAAACTGTGATAAGAACTGGACAGTGATAAGATAAACCACCGAGTCGCCCCCGGGCTGAGAATGGCGCTATATAAATATAGTAAATAAATAAATATTTACAATGTTAAGAAGGAAGTCAACATAAGATCAAAACCAATCAAGAAGAATCAACCCTAGACGGCTCTGGTCCAGCATGCCTGTCCGAACGTATCTCCTACATTCCACCTTGGAGTTTAAGATCTTCTGGGGAGGCCCTGCTCTCAGCCCCACCTTTGTCTCAAACACACTTGGCAGGGACGAGGGACAGGGCCTTCTAGGTGGCGGTCCCCCGCCTGTGGAACTCACTCCCCGGGGAAATTAGGTCATCTTCATCCCTGCTCACCTTTAGAAAAAAGTTAAAATGTAGACGTGGGACCAGATCTTCGGGTAATTAATTGGACAATGACAATAACAATGTTGACAATGGCTTGGAAATGGATTATGGATAAGTTTGATGGAGCATCCAACCACAGTTTTCGGCTAATAATGGCCACCAGAGTGGTAATTCTTAGTAGATTTTAATTGTATTGTTTTAATGTTTTAACTATTTATAATTATTGACTGTTTGTTTTTACTATGTATATATTGAGGCATCAAATTGCTGCCAATTGGAAGCTGCCCTGAGTTAATAAATAAACATCTGGCCAGGAAACTGAGATGGAGCCAGAATGGAAGACGTCTATCATTCATTTACAACTTTGGGACTACATCAGCAGAATATTCCTATAAAAGACTCAGTCTAATAATGCTCAAAGTGTGGCAGACCTGAGGAGTTTGTTCCACCCGCCTCTCTGCTCCATGGGTAGGAGAGATATTGTATATTTGGAGAGTGGCAAATTTACACAGGAGCAGTCTGGACACTTTGAGGCTTCTTTCTCAAGGGAAGAGGAAGAAGTGTGCTTTTGGAGTCTTAGATTTTGTGCAGGGAGTCAGGTTTTGCTGTATGGAAAACACAGATCTCATCCTTGGCATTGCGCTTATGGAAAATATGCATTTTGGATTTTTGAAGTTATGAAGTTATGGAAGTTTTGGAACTATACATTGGCAGGTTGCAGGAAAGCAAGGTCTGGCTTAACAGGTGCTTCTCCAAGGAGGGGGGAAAGGATATTATAATATTTGGGTGCATGAGGATGAATGCATGTACATGTGTGTGAATGTTGAGTGAAAATGTAATTCCCCTTTGTCTGTTTGTTAGTCCAATGTAACTATAAGTTGTTGTACATCCAATGTAGTTGCATAGGATCTGTATGTCTAAATGTTTTTCTGTAATCTGATATACCCTCTCACACTGGAAATTGCAATAAAAAGAACCTATGCTTTGAAGTTATTTAAAAGTCATTCATGACAACACCACTTTGGCACCTGTAAAATCAAGACCGTTATCAGTTCTGAGTTGTAAATTGGCACATAACCTATAGAGACTTTTATCATGACACATATGCAGTTTCAGTGTCCTGTGATAAATAGAAGTGGGTCACAGGGGGAATCTTTAATGAATGCCACTCGTCTTTTTTTTTTAAATTCTCCAGCTTTGCTTCTAAGTCTCGAAACAGGTAGTTTTATCATCTCCTCCCCTTTTATTGAGCTGTCATTTTACTGTATATAAACTGCAGTCGAGGGGGGGGGGAGGTATTAGCTGTGGCTTGTCAACTTGAGTGTGACAAGTATGTTACAGAATTTTATAATAAATATAATGGAAAGGAAAAAAATAGTTGTAGGGCCAGAGTGGGCCCTGAGATGTAGTGTTGCTTTTGCAGGGCATAGAAAAGTTGGGTTTCTTCAATGGTCCTTACCAAAATCCCCTACGGGCCAGATTTTGAGAAGGATCACAAAAAAAGAAATAATTTTCCAGAAATAAATAATGTTCTGGAAAATGTCCCCCTCTTCCCCACTCCCGCTTCAAAGGCTTAGAAAGCAGAATGAAATGGCTACATGGTTAGGATGCTTTGCAATTGCACACTCACAACCACCTTGTGAGGCAGGTTGGTTATTCCCATTTTACAGATAGCTAAAGGTATGATGGTTGAAATGGGATAAGTGGAGGATACTTTTGAAAAATAGGAGAAGGGCAGGATACTAAATGACAACATTTAGCTAAAACACCAATGAACGACAATCATATCATTCCCACATCTTTCTTTTTGTCCCTCGGTTCGGTCTTGCGTCAAGGGTCCGTGAAGTGGCATCTGAAGTAGATGGCGTTGGGGAGTCAGGATTTGCATCCTCTTGAGGGCCATCCGTCAGGGATGGTTCAGGAACGGGATCGCAAACACCACCAGGTATGGCCAAGGGAGGCACCGGACATGGGATTATGGGTCCAGACGTGGGCTCTGAAGGCATACCAGGCACATGGCCAGGTTGTAGCGGAGCTCTGGATTCTGGCGGATTATTGCGATCCGGGTAAGAGCCGAGTCCCTGGTGAGTTCCCTGCGAGGGAGACCTCCGGCCGGCAAACACTGCCGCGATGGCTGCCATGGTCTCAGTTTGCCTCCCCAAGAACTGCCCCAGGTCACTGTGGGAGCGCTCAAGGGCGGTGACCATCAACTGGGACGTGGCTCGGTCTTGGCGCCTTTCCTGTTTGCGGTGCTGCCATTCCTCCTGCCTGGCCCGGTCGAAGGCCTTCAGGTCCTGGTGGTGCAGCCCACGCATGGCGTCCAGAAGCATCGAGGGCGCCCGCGAGGCTGACTCCACGAGCTGCATGCTGGTCTCCAGGCGCTGCTTCCGATTGCGCATCCGCCGGTTGCGCATCCGCTCGGCATTCGTTAGGGGCCTCCGAAACTCCTGGATAGGCCCTGCATGCAGAAGATTAGGGGAAGGAAGGGTGAAAAAGATAGTTTGGCACAAGTTTTACAACCATGTAAGTGATTGAGTCGGACACAACTAGACTTAATGTCAAGGGAAAACCTTTACCATGTATTCCAGTCCTGTTGTTTCATCTACACTGCTTCCCTTATACTGCACTTTCCCCCACCTTATTGAAAGTCTAATTCCACTGTTTAGTCCCCTATGAGCTCCTTCCCCACAAATATGCCTTTTCATTGCTATCTCATCCAGTGTTTTATCATTTTATGTTGTGCATTTGGCCTGTCCATTGTGTTTTATTTTCCATTATGATATTTTTGTACTGTTTATTTTACTTGATTGCTTTGTTTATTTTATTGTGATGTTATTTGTTTATATTTTTTGTTGCTGTAATGTATCGCTGGGCTTGGCCTCATGTAAGCCACTCCGAGTCCCCTTTGGGGAGATGGTGGCGGGATATAAATAGATTATTATTATTATTATTATTATTATTATTATTATTATTATAGAATAACAACAACAACCGGGCTGTGGCGCAGCTATTTAGTAGCCAGCTGCATTATATTACTACTGACCAAGAGGTCATGAATTCGAAGCCAGCCTGGGTCGGAGTGAGCTCCTCACCATTAATAGTCTAGCTTGCCATTGACCTATGCAGCTTCAAAGATGGTTGCATCTATCAGGTAGGAAATGTAGGTACCGCTTTATGCGGGGGAGGCTATTTTAACTAATTTACAACACCATAAAACTTCCCAGCAGTGTGTGTAAGAAAGAGGAAGTACTCCATCATGGACTCGGTATCACAAGTGGACGATGAAGCGGCAGCTCCCCCTGTGGCCAGAACCGAGCATACTCATATGGTCTTTTTCAAAAGCAATTTCTCAAGTTTTGCTATTAGTTTCCCCAAAATGTACAAAATCCAGCACTGGTCAGATAACTTACCATATGGCCTGAGGCTCCTTCCACCCTCAGGCATGGGTTCCCGACAGAGTAGCGTTCCCCCAGCATGCAACGGCATCCTCTCTGACATGATGGGGTTTGGGGCTTGCTGGCCGATCGCAGGATACAGGGTCTGCTGGGTCATGGGTGGGTATTGCATCGGCAGACCCAAGGCAGGAAAATGGACCTGCTGCGTCATGGCTGGAAACGGCATTTGCTGAACCAAGGGTGCATTCGCCACTACCTCATCGAACGTCCACAGCGCCTGGAATCATACAATCCTAGAGTTGGAAGAGCCCTCAAAGGCCATTGAGAACTATTCTGGGTAAATACATAATTCAAGCACAACTCAACAGATAGTCATCCACAAAAACTACTTTATTTTTCGGTCTCTTGAGAGCAGGGTTTAAACTAAGATGTTTTAAGGGAGAGTAGATTATTTGGGCTACTGAAATGACACTTCTGAAACTTTGCTGTTTTTTATGTATTGGCATGTCTTTGTTCCTAACAGTTCAAAGACATATCTAAGTACATCAGTCTAACAGTGGAGAAATCTAATTGCCTTGCACAAATACTAGCGCATATTTACCACTGAGGAGAAGGTTGACTCAAGCGAGTTTTTAATTCTTCTCAGGAAGTTCATACTTTGCCAAAGGTTATAATCTCTAACAAGGTCGTGCCTTTCCAATAGGCTATGATAATTCCACGTAGTGTAAATCCCAATTAATTTCCAAAAAGGTCATGCTTCCAAATTTATTTATTTACTTACTTAGTTACTAGCCATCCGCTGCCATGAGTTGCTGTGGCCCAGTCTGTGTATATGTGTTTTGTGTGTGTATATATGTGTGTGTATATATATTTGTATATATGTGTGTTTGTGTATATATGTGTGTGTGTGTGTATGTATGTGTATATGTATATTTGTATATGTATATATGCATGTGTATATGTATATATATGTGTATGTATATGTATGTGTGTATATGCATATATTTGCATGTGTTTGTGCATATATACGTGTGTGTATGAATGTGTGCATGTGTATGTGTATATGAGTGTGTGTGTGTATATGTATATATGGTATATTTTGGGGTTTTAAAAGTCTGTTCCACTGGGGTTTTGTGTGTGTGTGTGTGTGTGTTTAGGGGTGATGGATGTTGATTGCTTATTGTCTATTTTGTTTATGTGATGTATGATTTATATTGTATTGATTGTTTACTGATGTTTGTTTATTGATGTATTGCAGGTTTGGCCTCATGTAAGCCGCACCGAGTCCCTTGGGGAGATGGTAGCGGGGTACAAATAAAGTGTTGTTGTTGTTGTTGTTGTTATTATTATTATTATTATTATTATTGGCCTGATAGGTGTATTGTGTCCAAATTTCATGTCAATTCGTCCAGTGGTTTTTGAGTTATGTTAATCCCACAAACGAACATTACATTTTTATTTATATAGATTTATTTATTTATTTGCTATATTTATATTCCACCTTTCTTGACCCAAGGGAGACTCCAGGCAGTTTACAACATAGGCAATAATTCAACGCCTTAAAAACCATATACATCCAATATACAAATAAACATTTCCATTTTTTAAAAAATCAAAATTAAATTTAAAAATGTGGGGATTTCTGGTTTTCCCAAAACATACTGCAGTTCGCCAATGATCTTGATGGACTACAAATCGAATCACACCTCACTACTGGCTGCATTATCTAGGGATGCTAGGTGTCACAGTCCAACAACATGTAATGAGTCTCCCATCTCTGTATGATTCCCATCCCCAAAAACAATATTTGAAAGAGAAAATCACTAACAAGAAGGATCTGTCTGCTGTAGTCATGCACCTTGCCAATTGATAGAGGTTTATTTTAAGAAACCCATATGCTGGACAAATGATCTAAGGGCATTTTCCTACCTGCTCTTTTCTCAGGGCATCGCGCTGCCTCATGAGGAAATCTTCCGACAAGGCGACCGCTTGAGCACAGCTCTCCGGCTCGTGTTCCCTGACCCAGTTCTGAATCTCCACAGGAAGGACGGTCAGGAACTGCTCCAGAATCAGCACCTCCAAGATCTGGTCTTTGGTGTGCCGCTCCGGCCGCAGCCACTGGCGGCAGAGTTCTTGGAGCTGCCGGCAGACTTCCCGGGGCCCCTCAGTCTCCTGGTAGCGGTGGTGCCGGAAGCGCTGGCGCCGGATCTCCGAGGTGACCGCATCCTCATTGGGAACCTCTTCTTTCACAGTCCCATAATTCCTTCGCTCCCTTTGCTCCTTCCCGCTGTAAGTGGTTTGGGCATCTCGGCTGAGGACTGGGAAGTCTTGAGGAACCCATCCTCCTCCAGAAGGCCACTGGCTTGCATTGAGTGGAGCATCATAGGAAGATGGAAATGAATTTGTGTCCCACGGCAGGGACTTGTGCATTGGTGGGTTTCTCCATCCAGACTGGGGATATTGGACCGCCTTGGAAAACTCCTGTCTTTGAGATTCCCAGTTGTGTTGCTGTGATGGGGGTGGGGGTTGGGGTTGCCGCTGCTGTTGCTGTAGCCCTTCGTCTGGTTCTTGCTTCACCTGTTGTGATTCCCCGGCCAAAAAGTCCTGTATGGAACCGGCTGGGGGCAAACGTGGCACCGCTTCATGCCCAGATGGGTCTCGCTCCTCTGTTTTCAGGGGCGGCTGCAACCCTCGTTCTGGAGCACCCCGGAGCTGAAGGTGAAGGACAGTCGTTTCCCCTCTTCCCATCGCCATCTCGGATGCCACCCAAGTGGCTTTCGCCTGATCTCCAGGGAGAGGGACGTTGTATCCAGCCTCGTTCTTCTGGATGGCCAGGGAAGAGGTGATCACACCAGCGCTGGGGAAGTGTGCAGAGAGGAATGGGGTCAGGAATGTTTCCTTAAGAAGCCCCACAGAAACCTCAAAGTGTCTTAATAGCACAATGAGATGGCAAAAAGAGTCCCATGTATTCACCCCGTGGCAAGAAAAGCATCCACGTTCAGAGCCACTGTCTCCTACCAATCTAACAGAGGAGGTGCCATATTCCAAGCAAAGATCTGCATGGCTTTAATGAGCTAAAAGCTTGATGAGCTTAATGAGCCTGGCAATTTCTGTTATTTCCTGTGCACCTGTGGAAGAAAAAACAACATTTATTTAGAGTCCAGAGAGAACTGCATTTGCGGGTTTTGACTCAATTGCATATTTTCTCCAGTCACTCTGGATGACTTAGGGATTTCTAGAGAGCACCCCTCTAGAATTGTCTAGGTCCTTCAATGTGATTCTATTTTCAGCTTCCAGATAGTGTATTTGTGTGTGTGTATGTGTGTCAGGAGTGACTTGAGAAGCTACACGTCACTTCTGGTGCGAGAGAATTGGCTTTCTGAGGTATGGACTGGTTGGATCTTCTCGCGATCCAAAGCACTCTCTGATTTTTCCTCCAGCACCACAGTTCATTTATTGATTTATTGATTGATTGATTTACTCCCTTTATATACCACTTTTCTCAGCCCTCGGGCGACTCAAAGCAGTTTACAGTAGCAAAATTCAATGCTTGAACTTCATAAAACAGATGAAAACAATTAAAAACCATAGCATCAATATACAAACATTACGAAGTCAATACTACATAACTCATGGCGTCTCTTAGTTAAAATCAAGATCCAATCTCGTCATCCAGTCATTTCATGTTCCAATATTTGGAACACTGCCTTTTCGAATGCCTGCTCAAATAACCAGATCTTAACCTTCCTACGAAATGCTAACAGAAAAGGGGCCGATCTAATATCTCTGGGAAGGGCGTTCCATAGCCGAGGGGTGACCACTGAGAAGGCCCTGTCTCTTGTCCCCGCCAAACATATTTGTGATGCAGACGGGATCGAGAACAGGGCCTCCCAAGACGATCTTAATGTCCTAGCTGGTTCATAGGAGGAGATACATCCAGACAGGTAAGTTGGGCCAGAATTTAGGGCTTTATAGGCTAGAGCCAGCACTTTGAATTATGCCAGGTAGCAAACTAGCAGCCAGTGGAGCTGGTACAACAGAGGAGTTGTATGCTCCCTGAGCGCCGCTCCTGTTAGTAACCTGGCTGCTGCCCGTTGGACCATTTGAAGCTTCCAGACAGTCTTCAAAGGCAACCCCACGTAGAGCGTGTTGCAGTAGTCTATACGGGATGTAACCAGAGCGTGGACTACCGTGGCCAAGTCAGACTAGCTGTACCCAGCACGCGTTGCTGTAGCCAACCTTCCCTCCCTCTTTCTCTCCTTTTTTCTTTCTCTCTTTCCTTCCCTTCCTCCCACTTTCCATCCTTCCTTCCTTCTCCACCTCTTTCCTTCCTTCCCCTCTCTTTTTCTTTCTCTCCTTTCTTCCTTCTCTACCTATAATTGGGCTGTAATTCCCAGCGGTCCTGATCAATCCATCTACTTACTGTATCTAATCTGTATCTAATCTATCTGTCTGGAGGATTGCCAGGAGTTGCAGTCCAGAAATAGGATACAGAAAATATGCAGGGACTGGGATGCTCTCAAGAAACCCAAGGAGAAGAAAGCTTGCAGCTTGGAAGCAGTGCATTTGGAGCATCCTTCTCTCCTAAAGGGCCTGGTCTAGGGGATGCTGAGAGCTGTTGTTTTCGCACATGCACTGTATATCATTTAGCTTTTTTGTGTTTTTAAGTGCTTTCTGCTGTTTTTTGGGAGGGGTTTTTGAGTGATGGTCACTCATCAGTCTGTCAGGGTTATAGTGTCCAAATTTTGTGTCAATTCATCCAGTGGTGTTTGAGTTATGTTAAACCCACAAATGAACATTACATTTTTATTTATATAGACTAGCTGTACCCGCCACATGTTGCTATGGGCAACCTTCCCTCCCTCTTTCTCTCCTTCTTTCCCTCCTTCCTTTGCTCCCTCTTCTCCTTCCTTCCCTTTTCTTCTTTCCTTCTCTCCTTCCTTCCTTCTCTACCTCTTTCCTTCCTTCCTTTGCTTTTTGCTTCCATTCTTCCTTCTCTCTTTCCTTCCCTCCCTCTTTCTCTCCCTTTTTCTTTCCTTCCTTCGCTTTTTGCTTCCATTCTTCCTTCTCTCTTTCCTTCCCTTCCTCTTTCTCTCCCTTTTTCTTTCCTTCCTTTGCTTTTTGCTTCCATTCTTCCTTCTCTCTTTCCTTCCCTCCCTCTTTCTCTCCCTTTTTCTTTCCTTCCTTCGCTTTTTGCTTCCATTCTTCCTTCTTTCTTTCTTTCTTTCTTTCTTTCTTTCTTTCCCTTTCTCTCCTTTCTTCCTTCTCTTCTTTCTTTCCTTCCTTCCTTTGCTATTTCCTTTCTTTCTTTCACTCTTTCTTTCTTTCTCCCCTTCCTTCCCACCCTTCCTCTGCCTTCCCTTTTTCTGTATAGTGATGTAGCTTTTTGTCATTTAGTTTTTTTGTGTTTTTAAGTCCTTTCTGCTGTTTTTTTGGAAAGGTTTATGAGTGATGGTCACTCGTTGGCCTGATAGGGGTGTAGTGTCCAAATTTTGTGTCAATTCATCCAGTGGTTTTTGAGTTATGTTAATCCCACAAACGAACATTACATTTTTATTTATATAGATTTATTTACAGTATTTATACCCTGCCCTTCTCACCCTGAAGGGGACTCAGAGCAGCCTTACAATAGGCGAAAAATCCAATGCCACATAAGATAGGCATGCGGTAAAATAATCATACATTAAAACATAAATGTAAAAAGCACTAGCTGTCCCCTGCCACACATTGCTGTGGCCCAGTCTGTGTATATATGTGTATATGTACTCATGATTTTAACCTGTTAATTGTTGAATTGCTGTTTTGTATGTATGTATATTTGACATAGGCATCGAATTGTGCCTTCTTTGTAAGCCACCCTGAGTCCCCCCTCGGGGGTGAGAAGGGCGGGGTAGAAGTAATCGAAATAAAATAAAATAAATAAATATGTGAGTGTATATATTTGTGTATATGTGTACATATGTGTGTTTGCGTATATATGTGGTTTTGCTTATGCGTTGTAATGTATTTTTTGTTTTTTGGATTTTTAAGTCTCTTCTGATGTGTATTTCAGTATTTTTATGAGTGATGGTCACTCGTTGGCCTAATACGTGCATTGTATCCAAATTTGGTATCAATTCGCCTAGTGGTTTTTGAGTTATGTTAATCCCACAAACGAACATTACATTTTTCTTTATATAGATTTATATCCTGCCCTTGTCACTCCGAAGGGGACTCAGAGCATCCTTACAATAGGTAACAATTCAATGCCACATAAGACAGAATCATAGAATCAAAGAGTTGAAAGAGACCTCATGGGCCATCCAGTCCAACCCCCTGCCAAGAAGCAGGAAAATTGCATTCAAATCACCCCTGACAGATGGCCATCCAGCCTCTGTTTAAAAGCTTCCATAGAATTTAAAAGCTTCCATAGACATGTACTGAAATAAACATACACATTAAAACATAAATTAAAAAAGCATATAAACATTAAAAGCAATTATTACAAACCACACCATCCGAAATCGTAGCCAAGAAGCCGTTCCAGTGGTGATTGCACATGTTTGTACTTTGGCAAGGAACAAACATTCTTTGGCAGAGAAGACTAGCAATCTGGCAACACTTCCATGCAGTTAAAGTAGTGTCAAACTGAATTAATTCCACAGTGTAGATACACCCTGAGTTCCTTCCCTTGGTCCCAAAATTATGTCATTCTTTCTCCTTCTCTGGCATCTTAGCAATGCTGACACTCAAGATCCCATTCCTTCCTTTGTTCTTCCTCTCTCTAGACATCATGCTCCCCCAGATCCTTACCTTCTCCCCCTTTTCCAACTCTTGCTCCCCTCCTGATCTCTTTCCCCTGATCCACTTTCCAGGTCTTCCAGCTGCAGGCTCTGGAAACGTGCAAACCTTTCCCAAAGGTCCAAGTTTAGGTCCTGCAGAAGGGGAGGGAAAGGCTGCTTCTGTTGTTGCCTCCCTTCTGCTGCTGTTTCCAGCCTGGCAAACCAAGAAGGGGGAGGGCAGGAAAAGGAAACACACCACAGCACCAGTTCCGGGCTTGTCTAGGCAATCGGCGACCTGTTTTTTTTTCCCCTTAACCCCCTCCAGTTAGGTGCCGTCCCAAGACATTTTGCTGCCTGAGGCCAAGCAGTCATTGCACCGCCCCCTGCTAGTCCAGCCAAGGACAGGCTTGGAAGAGGAGCCTCTGGGTGCATCTGCACTGTAGAATTAACCAAGTCTGACCCCACTCTAACTGCCATGGCACAATACTCAGGAATCCTGGAAGATGTAGTTTCACAAGGGCTTTAACCATCTCTGCCAAAGAGGGCTGGTGGAATCAGCCAGTTAAAGTGGACCCATTTAAGGTGGAATCAGGTGTCAAACAGGGATGGGAAGCTTCCCAACGGAGTGCAAATCATCTATCGAACAGACAACAAGCTGTTTAACCTCAGCAGACGGAAAACCAAGGTTACAGCAACATCTCTTATAGAACTTCAATATGCAGATGATAATGTAGTCTCTGYGCATTCAGAAGACCTACAAGCCACTCTAAACTCCTTCGCAGAAGCAAACGARAAGCTYGGGCTCTCATTTAACRCAAATGAGAAGCTCGGCCTCKYATTGAACATTGAAGTGTGCTTCCAGCAGGCACCAGTCAATCCCTCTCCAATGCCAGAAATACTTCCCCAACATTATTTTCCATCTTCGTCGCTATAATACTTCATCTTGTTGATGAGAAGCTTCCCACCAGAGTGGAAATCATCTATCGGACAGATGGCAAGCTATTTAATCTCAGCAGACTGAAAGCCAAAACCAAGATTACAACAACATCTCTTATAGAACTCCAGTACGCCGATGATAACGGTGTCTGTGCGCATTCAAAAGAAGACCTACAAGCCACTCTAAACACCTTCGCAGAAGCAAACGAGAAGCTCGGGCTCTCATTGAACATCGAGAAAACCAAAGTGCTCACCCAGCAGGCACCAGTCAATCCCTCTCCAATGCCAGGAATACAGCTTAATGGGTTACTTCCCCAACATTATTTTCCATCTTCGTCGCTATAATACTTCATCTTGTTGATGGGAAGCTTCCCATCGGAGTGCAAAACATCTATCGAACAGACAACAAGCTATTTAACCTCAGCAGACTGAAAACCAAGGTTACAACAACATCTCTTATAGAACTTCAATATGCAGATGATAATGTAGTCTGCGCACATTCAGAAGACCTACAAGCCACTCTAAACACCTTCACAGAAGCAAACGAGAAGCTTGGTCCCTCATTTAACGCAAATGAGAAGCTCGGCCTCTCATTGAACATCGAGAAAACCAAAGTGCTCACCCAGCAGGCACCAGTCAATCCCTCTCCAATGCCAGGAATACAGCTTAATGGGTTACTTCCCCAACATTATTTTCCATCTTCGTCGCTATAATACTTCATCTTGTTGATGGGAAGCTTCCCACTGGAGTGCAAATCATCTATCAGACAGACAACAAGCTATTTAACCTCAGCAGACTGAAAACCAAGGTTACAGCAACATCTCTTATAGAACTTCAATATGCAGATGATAATGTAGTCTGTGCGCATTCAGAAGAAGACCTACAAGCCACTCTAAACACCTTCGCAGAAGCAAACGAGAAGCTCGGGCTCTCATTGAACATCGAGAAAACCAAAGTGCTCACCCAGCAGGCACCAGTCAATCCCTCTCCAATGCCAGGAATACAGCTTAATGGGTTACTTCCCCAACATTATTTTCCATCTTCGTCGCTATAATACTTCATCTTGTTGATGGGAAGCTTCCCATCGGAGTGCAAAACATCTATCGAACAGACAACAAGCTATTTAACCTCAGCAGACTGAAAGCCAAAATCAAGGTCACGACATCTGTTATAGAACTCCAATATGCTGATGACAACGTCATCTGTGCGCATTCAGACAAAGACCTACAAGCCACTCTAAACAACAACCCACTCTAAACATCTTCGCAGAAGCATACAAGACGCTCGGCCTGTCACTGAACATCGAGAAAACCAAAGTGCGCTTCCAGCAGGCAGCAGTCAATCCCTCTCCAATGCCAGAAATACAGCTTAATGGGTTACTTCCCCAACATTATTTTCCATCTTCGTCGCTATAATACTTCATCTTGTTGATGGGAAGCTTCCCACTGGAGTGCAAATCATCTATCAGACAGATGACAAGCTATTTAACCTCAGCAGACGGAAAACCAAGGTTACAGCAACATCTCTTATAGAACTTCAATATGCAGATGATAATGTAGTCTGCGCGCATTCAGAAGACCTACAAGCCACTCTAAACACCTTCACAGAAGCAAACGAGAAGCTTGGTCTCTCATTTAACGCAAATGAGAAGCTCGGCCTCTCATTGAACATCGAGAAAACCAAAGTGCGCTTCCAGCAGGCACCAGTCAATCCCTCTCCAATGCCAGAAATACAGCTTATTTTCCATCTTCGTCACTATAATACTTCATCTTGTTGATGGGAAGCTTCCCACCGGAGTGGAAATCATCTATCAGACAGACAACAAGCTATTTAACCTCAGCAGACGGAAAACCAAGGTTACAGCAACATCTCTTATAGAACTTCAATATGCAGATGATAATGTAGTCTGTGCGCATTCAGAAGAAGACCTACAAGCCACTCTAAACACCTTCGCAGAAGCAAACGAGAAGCTTGGGCTCTCATTTAACGCAAATGAGAAGCTCGGCCTCTCATTGAACATCGAGAAAACCAAAATGGTGTAACATTAGAAAATTAGAAACATAAGAAAATGGTGACAATTTCCGTTCCCTTGGCAGCCACCTCTCCACAAAAGTCAACATTGACACTGATATACAATATCCACTGAGCTCTGCAAGTGCAGCATTTTCCAGAATGAAGCAGAGAGTGTTTGAGGACCGGGACATCCGTAGGGATACCAAGGTACTTGTTTATAAAGCTATTGTCCTCCCAACCCTGCTATATGCCTGTGAGACGTGGACTGTCTACAGACGTCATCCGCAACTCCTAGGACGATTCCATTAGCATTGCCTCCGAAAAATCCTACAAATCTCTTGGGAAGACAGGCGGACAAATGTCAGCATGCTGGAACAAGCAAAAACCACCAGCACTGAAATAATGCTCCTACGCCAGCAAATTTGCTAGACTGGCCATGCTGTCCGAATGGCCGATCATCATCTCCCAAAGCAGTTACTATACTCTGAACTCAAGAACGGAAAACGGAACGTTGGTGGACAGGAAAAGAGATTTAAAGATGGGCTCAAAGCCAACCTTAAAAACTCTGGTATAGACACTGAGAACTGGGAAGCCCTGGCCCTTGAGCGCTCCAGCTGGAGGTCAGCTGTGACCAGCAGTACTGTAGAATTTGAAGAGGCACAAATGGAGGGCGAAAAAGAGAATATGCCAAGAGGAAGGCGTGTCAAGCCAACCCCGACTGAGACCGCCTTCCACCTGGAAACCAATGCCCTCACTGCGGAAGAAGATGCAAATCAAGAATAGGTCTTCACAGTCACCTACGGACCCACCGCCAGTACACCAATCTTGGAAGACAATCCTATTTGGACAACGAGGGATTGCCTAAGTAAGTCAGTTCTCAAATATTATACTGTGTCCAGGTTGGTTCATCAGGTGCTCTGTTGGAGGCAAGTGTGAATATTGCAATTAAGCACCCTGATTGGCGTTTAATGGCCTTGCAGCTCCAAGGTCTGGCTGCTTACTGCCGGGGGGATATTGACAAGCTGGAAGGTGTCTAGAGAAGGGTGAATCAAAATAGTCAATTATTTATTTATTTATTTATATATTTAAAAGTTTCTCACCTCTCTTGAGGGACTCAGACCGGTTTCCAACCATAATATCACATACAATCAATAAAACATCATAATACATATTACAGTAAAACATTAAAACAGCAATTACAATCAATAACTGTAATGGTCAGTCGTCACACTAAAATCGTTGCTCATCATCCTCCATCCATATCTCAGGGTGTTGGCTCACTCGTCGAATGCCTGTCTCCATAACCAAGTCTTCACCTGTTTCCTAAATGTCAGGATAGAGGGGCGGTTCTGATCTCCAGTGGGAGAGAGTTCCAGAGTCGAGGGGCCACCACCGAGAAGGCCCTGTCCCTCGTCCCCACCAGACGCGCTTGCGAGGCCGGTGGGACCGAGAGCAGGGCCTCTCCAGACGATCTTAATAATCTTGATGGTTCATAGGGGAGAATACGTTCGGAGAGGTAAACAGGGCTGGGGTCGTTTAGGGCTTTATAGGTTAACACCAGCACTTTGAATTGTGCTCGGAAGCTAATTGGCAGCCAGTGGAGCTGGAGTAACAGCGGAGTGGTGTGCTCCCTGTACCCAGCACCCGTTAGTAGTCTGGCTGCCGAGCGTTGGACTAGCTGCAGCTTCCGGGCAGTCTTCAGAGGCAACCCCACGTAGAGAGCGTTGCAGTAGTCTAAACGGGATGTAACCAAAGCGTGGACCACCGTGGCCAAGTCAAACTTCCCAAGGTATGGGCGCAGCTGGCGCACAAGTTTTAATTGTGCAAAAGCTCCCCTGACCACAGCCGAAACCTGGGGCTCCAGGCTCAGCAATGAATCTAGGAGAACTCCCAAACTGCGAACCTGCGCCTTCAGGGGGAGTGTAACCCCGTCCAGCACAGGCTGTAACCCTATACCCTGTTCAGCCTTTCAACTGACCAGGAGTACCTCTGTCTTGTCTGGATTTAGTTTCAATCTGTTGTCCCTCATCCAGTCCGTCACAGCGGCCAAGCACCGGTTCAGGACTTGGACAGCTTCCTTAGTAGCAGGTGGAAAGGAGTGACAGAGTTGGACATCATCTGGACATCATTTATAATCCCAGTCTTATGAAGAATGGCTTAGTGTGGAGAAGAGAAGGATAAGAGGGGACATGATAGGCATGTTTGAATATTTGGAGTGTCATATTGACACATATTGCTGGGAGCAATGGATTCAAACTGCAGGAGCAAAATATCTCCCATTTAGTTCTCTCAGGGTTAAATCCACAGATCTCAGCTGACTAGAGAGGAAGAGAAGGGCAAAGGAAAAGAAGGAGGGACCATTGTATGGAAGGCCCCTCCCCGACCAGCTGCTCTGCAGATTTGCCAGCTGGTTGTGTTTGTGTGCTCTTCCAAAACCCTGCACCCCTAAAAGCAGGTACGCTCAGCTCTTGCAAATACGCAAAGGAAGGTCCCTGGCTTTGATGATTTCCATTTGGAGAGAGACGCAGGAGGCCTCCTCGCCTGGGTTTCTGTAAGTCCCAAAAGCAGATTTGGGGAGGGGGTTTGGAGGGGGAGATGGGAGGCAGACCCCTTTCTCCCTTCCCTCCTAGGAACATCATTCAAATGCATACTCTTGCTATGCCTTGAATTACTCATCCTTTGCGCTTAGCAAGAAGATCAGGGGCACAGCTACATTGTAGAACGAATGCAGATTGACCCCACTTTATTTGTCCTGGTTTAGTGCTATGGGTTCTTGGGGATTGCAGTTTGACAAGGTCTTTCGCCCTCTCTGCCAAAGACTGCTGGTGCCTGGTGCAATTACAACTCCTAAGATTCCATAGCACTGTTAAAGGGGTCTCGAACTGCTTTAATTCTACAGTGTAGCTGCACCCTTAGATGTGTACCCTTGCCGTGCTTCGAATTGCTGCTCCTTTGCGTGTCACAAAAAAGGAGCTCTTGGGAGGCATCTGCGCTGTAGAATGAATGCAGTTTGACATCAATTGAACTGGCAGGGCTTTGGTGTTATAGAATCATAGAATCAAAGAGTTGGAAGAGACCTCATGGGCCATCCAGTCCAACCCCCTGCCAAGAAGCAGGAATATTGCATTCAAATCACCCCTGACAGATGGCCATCCAGCCTCTGTTTAAAAGCTTCCAAAGAAGGAGCCTCCACCACACTCCGGGGCAGAGAGTTCCACTGCTGAACGGCTCTCACAGGAAGTTCTTCCTCGTGTTCAGATGGAATCTCCTTTCTTGTAGTTTGAAGCCATTGTTCCGCGTCCTAGTCTCCAGGGAAGCAGAAAACAAGCTTGCTCCCTCCTCCCTGTGGCTTCCTCTCACATATTTATACATGGCTATCATATCTCCTCTCAGCCTTCTCTTCTTCAGGCTAAACATGCCCAGCTCGTTAAGCCGCTCCTCATAGGGCTTGTTCTCCAGACCTTTTATCATTTTAGTCGCCCTCCTCTGGACACATTCCAGCTTGTCAATATCTCTCTTGAATTGTGGTGCCCAGAATTGGACACAATATTCCAGGTGTGGTCTAACCAAGGCAGAATAGAGGGGTAGCATTACTTCCCTAGGTCTAGACACTATGCTCCTATTGATGCAGGCCAAAATCCCATTGGCTTTTTTTGCCACCACATCACATTGTTGGCTCATGTTTAACTTGTTGTCCACAAGGACTCCAAGATCTTTTTCACACGTACTGCTCTCGAGCCAGGCATAGTCCCCCATTTTGTATCTTTGCAGCAGGTGGTCAGTGGTTTGCTCTTCTCCACACTTGCATGTTGTGGATTCCACTTTGTAGCCCCATTTCTTGAAGGTTGGCTCTGCATCTCGTGGTACCAGAGCACAGTCTGTTCAGCGCCTTCCAAGTCGCCCAGTCTTCTGTGTGCCCCGGGGGGAGTCTCTCATTTGGTATCAGCCATTGATTGAGGTTCTGGGTTTGAGCCTGCCTTCTGTGGTGTTCCAGCGAGTGTCTCTGTAGATCTTAGAAAACTATTTCTTGATTTAAGTCATTGACGTGCTGGCTGATACCCAAACAGGGGATGAGCTGGAGATGTCACCGCCTTGGTCCTTTCACTATTGGCTGCTACTTCCCGGCGGATGTCAGGTGGTGCAATACCGGCTAAGCAGTGTAATTTCTCCAGTGGTGTAGGGCGCAGACACCCTGTGATAATGCGGCATGTCTCATTAAGAGCCACATCCACTGTTTTAGTGTGGTGAGATGTGTTCCACACTGGACATGCATACTCAGCAGCAGAGTAGCATAGCGCAAGGGCAGATGTCTTCACTGTATCTGGTTGTGATCCCCAGGTTATGCCAGTAAGCTTTCGTATGATATTGTTTCTAGCACCATATGAAAGCTTACTGACACAACCTAGGGATCACAACCAGATACAGTGAAGTGCATGAGCTTACTTACAGAGAGACTTTTCTTGCTTCATGAGGTGCTAGAAGTAGATCTTCCACATGGACACCGAAAGACCATTTAAATCTCTCTCAAAAGGACGTTGTGTGAGTCAACGCAATTGATCACATGATTATATATATGTTGCTCTGCATTACAAAGCGTAAACTCCTCGTTATTTACTGTTCATCTGCATGGCATATTTTCTTTCTCTGGCAAGGCAGTGTGTGGACTGATAAAACGTGAACTCCCTGTGATTCCGCCACATTATCTGCTTTGACAATCTGGATTATATGGCAGTGTCAAGGAAACCTAAGTCTTCTGATGTGATTCTATGTTCAGTGTCCAGCGACAATTGCCCATAGACTTGCTCTTGAAAACCTAGAAATTCCTAGGGAAGTGTTATCTCAGGCTGGAAAATATACAGTTTTATAATTTGCATTTTTTCACATTCACAGTGTACCTTTGCCCCTAACACCAGCGAAGGTGGAGATCTTACTGTATTTATGTCTGGTTTTTTTTTTTTCCCAGGGAAACAACTAAAAAACAATGCTGTTGGAGTCTCAACCAACTTTAATTGGCCTGGATACCTGAAGATACACAACATCATGGAAAAAGTGCTGTGGCAACACACCATTGCTTTGCCATGATGGAAAAGTAGTTCTTTCTGTGGTCAAATTTTCAGCAAAATTGAGAGAATATGAAGGGAAGAAGCTGAATTGGGTTCATCCCCAATAAGGAAAAATGGCTACTGAGAAGAAAACAGAATTCTCGACTCCGGGACTTTTCAGAGTCATTGTAGAACCAGAGAGAAGATCTCAAATAAAAATGGAGGTTCAGGAACTGGAATCAGAGACAGATTTGCAGAGAATTGGGGAAGGCGTTCTGTCTCTCCTCCCCAAAGAAATGGATCCTCAAAGAGTAACAGCAGCCCCAAAGCCATGCATAAAGTGGAAATTAATCCAAGGTGCATCATCCCAGCAGTGGCCAGAAATTCTACACGCACCACATTCCCTGATGTCTGAACATAGCAGCCTGCAACGGCCAGAGAATTATCTGCGGGAGGATGGAAATAACTCCTTACCACAGTTGGAAGGAGTAGTATCCACACGCCACTGGGCTACTTCCAAAATCACAAGACTCGGCAAAACAATGGGGGAAACCCAAAGTCTAAACTTTGGGAGTGGAAAAGAGGACAGTGAATCACCAAGAGTAAACAGTGGTGGTGATGATAATCGTCTGAGTTCGGAAAGTCAGCGCCAATATTTCCGGCAGTTTGATTACAAAGACGCCGAGGGGCCGTGGGAAGCCTACTGCCAGCTACGGAGATTTTGCCACCAGTGGCTGAAGCCAGAGGCGCACACGAAAGAGGAGATCCTGGAGCTGGTGATCCTGGAGCAGTTCCTCTCCATCTTGCCCCGGGAAATGCTGAGCTGGATCAGGGAGCGGGATTCGGAGAGCTGCTTCCACGCTGTGGCTCTCGCCGAGCATTTTCTCCTGCGGCAGCATCAGGCTGAGAGGCAAGTTCAGCAGCAGCAGCAGGTGAGAGTATTTTTAGGAGAATCATAAGCGTCACATAGAATCGCAGAGTTGGAAGAGACTCCAAGGGCCATCCAGTCCAATTCTCTGCAATAATAATAATAATAATAACAATAATAATAATAATAATAATAATAATAATAATAATAAAGAACGCATCTCCCTCTACGTCCCACCCCAGAGTTTGAGATCATCTGGGGAGGCCCTGCTCTCGACCCCACCGCTATCACAAGTGAGGTTGGTGGGGACGAGGAGCAGGGCCTTCTCAGTGGTGGCCCCTCACCTGTGGAACTCACTCCCGGGGGAAATTAGGGCATCAACATCCCTCCTCTCCTTCAGGAGGAAAGTAAAGACATGGTTGTGGGACCAGGCCTTTGGGCAATCTGACAACTAGATAAGGACAATCAGACGACTAGGACTGACAGGACTGACAATGTGGAATTGGAATTTGGACTATGAGATAGCGAACGCTGACCATCAATGAGGAGTAATTGGGTTTGTATTGGTTTTATTGGTTTTATTGTTGTAATGCAGGAACTGTTGTTTAATTGTTAATTGCTGCTATTTGTTTACTACTGTTATGTGATGCTGGCATTGAATTGTGCCTTTGTAAGCCGCCCTGCTCCAGCAAAGGATCACCGCCTTGTCGGGGCGCTGGAGCTTGAGCACCTCAATGATGTCATGAGCGAAACCGTGAAGGGACACCCAAGACGGGACGGTTGTGGCAGAGAGGTCAGACCAAGCGTGATCCCTGGGGAAGGCAATGGCAAACCACTCCAGTATCCTTGCCAAGAAAACTAAATGGACCAGTACGACCAGAGATATGTCGGTATGCCATTGGAAGATGGGACTCCCAGGTCGGAAGATGGCCAAAATGCTACTGGGGAGGAGCAGAGGATAAGTTCAACTAGCCCCAGATGTGATGACGCAGCTAGCTCAAAGCCGAAAGGAAGGCTAGGCCGACGGTACTGGAGGTGAACGACGAATCCGATGCTCTAAAGATCAACACACCATAGGAACCTGTAATGTAAGATCTATGAGCCAGGGCAAATTGGATGTTGTTATTGGCGAGATGTCAAGACTAAAGATAGACATTCTGGGGGTCAGCGAACTGAAGTGGACTGGAATGGGCCACTTCACATCAGATGACCACCAGATCTACTACTGCGGACAAGAGGAACATCGAAGAAATGGAGTAGCCTTCATAATTAATAAGAAATTCGCTAAAGCGGTGCTTGGATACAACCCAAAAATGACAGAATGATCTCAATTCGAGTGCAAGGAAAGCCTTTCAACATTACAGTGATCCAAATATACGCCCCAACCACAGCTGCTGAAGAAGCAGAAGTAGATCAGTTCTATGACGATCTGCAGGACCTACTGGATAATACACCAAAAAGAGACATTATTTTCATTACAGGAGACTGGAATGCCAAGGTGGGAAGTCAAATGACAACTGGGATCACAGGCAAGCATGGTCTGGGAGAACAAAATGAAGCGGGACGCAGGCTGATAGAATTTTGCCAGGAAAACTCGCTGTGTATAACAAACACTCTCTTCCAACAACCTAAAAGACGGCTTTACACATGGACTTCACCAGATGGTCAGCACCGAAATCAGATTGACTACATCCTTTGCAGCCAAAGGTGGCGGACATCCATCCAGTCGGTGAAAACAACACCTGGGGCTGACTGTAGCTCAGATCACGAACTTCTTATTGCCCAATTTAGAATAAAACTAAAGAGATCAGGGAAAATACACAGACCAGTTAGATATGATCTCACTAACATTCCTAGCGAATATACAGTGGAAGTGAAGAACAGATTTGAAGGACTAGATTTAGTAAACAGAGTCCCAGAAGAACTATGGACAGAAGTCCGAGACATTGTTCAGGAGGCGGCAACAAAGTACGTCCCAAAGAAAAAGAAAACCAAGAAGGCAAAATGGTTGTCTGCTGAGACACTGGAAGTAGCCCAAGAAAGGAGGAAAGCAAAAGGAACAGGGATAAGGGGAGATATGCCCAGTTAAATGCGCAATTCCAGAGGTTAGCCAGAAGAGATAAGGAACTATTTTTAAATAAGCAATGCATGGAAGTTGAAGAAGACAACAGAATAGGAAGGGCAAGAGACCTCTTCCAGAAAATTAGAAACATTGGAGGTAAATTTCAGGCAAAAATTGGTATGATAAGAAACAAAGATGGCAGGGACCTAACAGAAGCTGAAGAGATCAAGAGAAGGTGGCGAGACTATACAGAAGATCGTATAGGAAGGATAATAATATTGAGGATAGTTTTGACGGTGTGGTGAATGAATTAGAACCAGACATCCTGAGGAGTGAGGTTGAATGGGCCTTAAGAAGCATTGCTAACAACAAGGCAGCAGGAGACGACGGGATCCCAGCTGAACTGTTTAAAAACTTAAAAGATGATGCTGTCAAGGTGATGCATGCCATATGCCAGCAAATATGGAAAACACAAGAATGGCCATCAGACTGGAAAAAATCAACTTATATCCCCATACCAAAAAAGGGAAATGCGAAAGACTGCTCCAACTTCCGTACAGTGGCCCTTATTTCTCATGCCAGTAAGGTAATGCTCAAGATCCTGCAAGGAAGACTCCAGCAATACATGGAACGAGAGTTGCCAGATGTTCAAGCTGGGTTTAGAAAAGGCAGAGGAACGAGAGACCAGATTGCCAATATCCTCTGGATAATGGAGAAAGGCAGGGAGTTTCAGAAAAACATCTACTTCTGCTTCATTGACTATTCTAAAGCCTTTGACTGTGTGGATCATAATAAATTGTGGCAAGTTCTTGGTGGGATGGGCATCCCAAGCCCTTGTCTCTCTCCTGAGGAATCTGTACAAGGACCAAGTAGCAACAGTCAGAACTGACCACGGAACAACAGACTGGTTCAAGATTGGGAAAGGCGTACGGCAAGGCTGCATCCTCTCACCCAACCTTTTTAACTTGTATGCAGAACACATCATGCGATGTGAGGGGCTGGATGAATGCAAAGCTGGGGTGAAAATTGCTGGAAGAAACATTAACAACCTCAGATATGCAGATGACACCACTCTGATGGCCGAAAGCGAGGAGGAGCTGAGGAGCCTTCTAATCAAGGTGAAAGAAGAAAGCGCAAAAGCCGGGTTGCAGCTAAACGTCAAAAAAACCAAGATTATGGCCACAAGAATGATTGACAACTGGAAAATAGAGGGAGAAACCGTGGAGGCCGTGACAGACTTTGTATTTCTAGGTGCAAAGATTACTGCAGATGCAGACTGTAGCCAGGAAATCAGAAGACGCTTACTTCTTGGGAGGAGAGCAATGTCCAGTCTCGATAAAATAGTAAAGAGTAGAGACATCAAACTGGCAACAAAGATCCGCCTAGTCAAAGCCATGGTATTCCCTGTAGTCACCTACGGATGTGAGAGCTGGACCTTAGGGAAGGCTGAGCGAAGGAAGATCGATGCTTTTGAGCTGTGGTGTTGGAGGAAAGTTCTGAGAGTGCCTTGGACTGCGAGAAGATCCAACCAGTCCATCCTCCAGGAAATAAAGCCCGACTGCTCACTGGAGGGAAAGATGTTGTTGTTGTTCATTCGTTCAGTCGTCTCCGACTCTTCGTTACCTCATGGGCCAGCCCACGCCAGAGCTCCCTGTCGGCCGTTACCACCCCCAGCTCCCTCAAGGTCAGTCCAGTCACTTCAAGGATGCCATCCATCCATCTTGCCCTTGGTCGGCCCCTCTTCCTTTTGCCTTCCACTTTCCCCAGCATAATTGTCTTCTCTACGCTTTCCTGTCTCCTCATGATGTGGCCAAAGTACTTCAACTTTGTCTCTAGTATCTTTCCCTCCAGTGAGCAGTCGGGCTTTATTTCCTGGAGGATGGACTGGTTGGATCTTCTCGCAGTCCAAGGCTCTCTCAGCACTTTCCTCCAACACCACAGCTCAAAAGCATCGATCTTCCTTCGCTCAGCCTTCCCTAAGGTCCAGCTCTCACATCCGTAGGTTACTACAGGGAATACCATGGCTTTGACTAGGCGGATCTTTGTTGCCAATCTGATGTCTCTACTCTTTACTATTTTATCGAGACTGGACATTGCTCTCCTCCCAAGAAGTAAGCGTCTTCTGATTTCCTGGCCACAGTCTGCATCTGCAGTAATCTTTGCACCTAGAAATACAAAGTCTGTCACGGCCTCCACGGTTTCTCCCTCTATTTTCCAGTTGTCAATCATTCTTGTTGCCATAATCTTGGTTTTTTTGACGTTTAGCTGCAACCCGGCTTTTGCGCTTTCTTCTTTCGCCTTGATTAGAAGGCTCCTCAGCTCCTCCTCGCTTTCGGCCATCAGAGTGGTGTCATCTGCATATCTGAGGTTGTTAATGTTTCTTCCAGCAATTTTCACCCCAGCTTTGCATTCATCAACCCCGCACATCGCATGATGTGTTCTGCATACAAGTTAAAAAGGTTGGGTGAGAGTATGCAGCCTTGCCGTACGCCTTTCCCAATCTTGAACCATTCTGTTGTTCCGTGGTCAGTTCTGACTGTTGCTACTTGGTCCTTGTACAGATTCCTCAGGAGAGAGACAAGGTGGCTTGGGATGCCCATCCCACTAAGAACTTGCCACAATTTATTATGATCCACACAGTCAAAGGCTTTAGAATAGTCAATGAAGCAGAAGTAGATGTTTTTCTCTACTAGAGACAAAGTTGAAGTACTTTGGCCACATCATGAGGAGACAGGAAAGCCTAGAGAAGACAATTATGCTGGGGAAAGTGGAAGGCAAAAGGAAGAGGGGCCGACCAAGGGCAAGATGGATGGATGGCATCCTTGAAGTGACTGGACTGACCTTGAGGGAGTTGGGGGTGGTAACGGCCGACAGGGAGCTCTGGCGTGGGCTGGTCCATGAGGTCACGAAGAGTCGGAGACGACTGAACGAATGAACAACAACAACACAACCCCAAATGACATTCGGGGTGAGAAGGGTGGGGTAGAAGTAACCAAAATAAATAAATAAATAAATAAATAAATAAATATAATAATCAGTATGCATTATTCGCCGTTGCATCACACAGTCCTAGACACTTGGGAAGTGTCTGATGTGTGATCCAATACAACAGCCAGCAGAGTGTCTGTTGTGGACTCATCGTTGTGTTTCAAATAACAGTAATAATAACAATAATAACCATAACAACAACAAGAACAATAACAACAACAACATTACACTCTGTGGATCAGGGACAACTAGGTTATCAGTCTAACAACTGGAAATCAAATCAACTTGCATAAATACATGTGGATATATACCACTGGAGATAAAATTTTACTTAAATGAGCTTTTTTGGCTCTTCTCTGGAAGATCGTACTTTTACAAAAAGTTATGTTTTTCAAATGGTTGTGAATGCCATTTTTCTCCAAAATGTTACGAAGATTGTGGTTTTCCAAAACAGGTGATTTCTTCCTTCCAGGCTTTATTTGTTACATATAAATATAATAAACAAACAACATATTCTCCCTTATTGCAGGTGCCAAGTATGATAAAAGAGGAGGCTTTGGGTTATTCAGCGGAAGACAATGATTCTCCAGATGTGAATCTCCATCAGCTCTACGGTGAAGTCAAGCAGGAGGAGGAAGATGGCAGCGTGATAGGTATGGACCGATCATCGCTGAATCTATATGCACAGTTTATCTTTTACTGTTGGGATAGGTGATTCACAGGGACTAGGTGTCGATTTTGCCCTCCACCCACCTTGGGCTAAATCCATTACCACATCCCCTGTCTTCCCTCCATTTTCTCTCCAAAAATGTGTCCAGAAACAATACCTCATTGCTTCCAGTAGCCATTTAAGAAAGAAAACAGTACTCTTTCAGATAGCAGGGGTTCTGGGGCATTTGGAGGAACAGATGTGGGCTTTGGGTTGCTGTGAGTTTTCCAGGTTGTGAGGTCTGTTAGAAACTAGGACAAGTGAGGTGAAACGTCCAGGGTGGGAGAAAGAACTCTTGTCTGCTTGAGGCAAGTGTGAATATTGCAATTGGCCATCTTGATTAGCATTGAATAGCCTTGCAGCTTCAAATGCTGGCTGCTTCCTGCCTTGGGAAATCCTTTGTTGGGAGGTATTAGCCGGCCCTGACAACCACCCTGTCAGACTACACAAAAAACCCATTGAAATTCACAAGCATGTGGACAATTTCAACAAAATTGAGTAAACCATGAAAAGGAACAAAATCTGGTGACCAGTATAAGAAGCTCTTAAACCAAGACAGTAAATAAAGAGGAACACTCAGACAGCAGGGGAATTCCTCACATGAAACAATCAGGACCAGCTAACAGCTAAGTGGAGTATCTTGCACTTGTCGCTGTTGAACTTCATTTTGTTATTTTTGCCCCATCTCTCTAATCCACCGTTTCCCAACCTGGGGGTTGGGACCTCTGTGGGGGGGGGGGGTTGTGAGGAGGTGTCAGAGGGATCTCCAAAGACCATCAGAAAACACAGTATTTTCTGTTGGTAATGGGGGTTCTATGTGGGAAGTTTGGCCCAATTCTATCATTGGTGGGGTTCACAATGAACTATAAACCCCAGCAACTACAACTCCCAAATGTCAAGGTCTATTTTCCTCCAAACTCCATCTGTGTTCATATTTGGGCATATTGGGTGCTTGCGCCAAGTTTAGTCCAGATCCATCATTGTTTGAGTCCACAGTGCTCTCTGGATGTAGGTGAACTACAACTCCAAAACTCAAGGTCAGTGCCCACCAAACCTTCCAGTATTTTCTGTCGGTCATGGGAGTTCTGTGTGCCTAGTTTGGCTCAATTCCATTACTGGTGGAGTTCATAATGCTGTTTGATTGTAGGTTAACTATAAATCCCAGCAACTACAACTCCCAAATGACAAAATCAACCCCCCCCCCCCCAACCCCACCAGTATTCAAATTTGGGCATATCAGGTATTTGTGCCAAATTTGGTCCAGTGAATAAAAATATATCCTGCAGATCAGATATTTACATTATGATTCATTTATTCTTGTTATTTATTTATTTCGAACATTTCTAATCCGCCCTTCTCAACCCCTGAGGGAGGACTCAGAGCAGCTTACACCGGCAACAATTCGATGTCACAAGATAAAACATATAACAAATAAAACATCAATTTAAAACAGTGAATAAAACATCAAGGTAAAACAGATTAAAATCCCATTGAAACATTGTCAACAATTCATATAGCCAATTCCAGTCTGATCCAAAATGCTGTCATGCTTGCTGTCCAAAGGCCTGGTCCCAGAACCATGATTTAACCTTCTTCCTAAAAGAAAGGAGGGAAGATACTGACCTGATCTCGATGGGGAGCGAGTTCCATAGGTATGGGGCCACCACCGAGAAGGTGTGGGGCTACCGCGCACTTGCGAGGCTGGCGGGACCGAGAGCAGGGCCACCCTGGACAATCTTAAACTACAAGGTGGGACATAGAGAGAGATGCATTTGGACAGGTAAGCTAGGTCTTTATAGGTCAAGACCAGCACTTTGAATTGTGCTTGGAAATGGACTGGCAGCCAGTGGAACTGACACAACAGGGGGGTGGTATGCTCCCTGTATGACACTCCAGGAAATAACCTGCCTGCCGCCCTTTGGAGTAATTGAAGTTTCCGAACAGTCTTCAAAGGCAGCCCCACGTAGAGCAAATTGTAGTAGTCTATTCAGAATGTAACCAGAGCATGGACCACCATGGCCAGATCAGACTTGGCGCACAAGTTTTAATTGTGCAAAAGCTCTCCCGGCCACTGCTGAGACCTGGCGTTCCAGGCTCAGCGATGAATCCAGGATCACTCCCAAGCTGCAAACCTGCGTCTTCAGGGGGAGTGTGACCCCATCCAACACATGCTGTAACCCTATGCCCGGTTCATAACAGTAGCAAAATAACAGTTGCGAAGTAGCAACAAAAACAATTTTATGGTTGGGGGTCTCCACAACATGAGGAACTGTATTAAGAGGTCACGGCATGAGGAAGGTTGAGAAACACTGGTCTAATCCGTGGGTTGTTGTAGGTTTTTTCGGGCTATATGGCCATGTTCTAGAGGCATTTTCTCCTGACGTTTCGCCTGCATCTATGGCAAGCATCCTTAGAGGTAGTGAGGTCTGTTGGAACTAGGAAAATGGGTTTATATGTCTGTGGAAAGACCAGGGTGGGACAAAGGACTCTTGTCTGTTGGAGCTAGGTGTGAATGTTTCAACTGACCACCTTGATTAGCATTTGATAGCCTGGGAGTGCCTGGGGCAATCATTTGTTGAGAGGTGATTACAACAACCCAGTGATTCCGGCCATGAAAGCCTTCGACAATACGCTGGTCTAATCCGTTAACATGATTTTCCTGCTTCTTGGTAGGGGTTGGACTGGATGGTCCACGAAGTCTCTTCCAATTCTATCATTCTTCTTTTTATTTTGTCCATATTTCAGCAGGGAATGAAAGTGAGAGCAAAAAGGAGGAGATGTTGCCAGAAAGAGAGGACTCTCCAGATTTGGAAGAAACACTTTCGAATCAAGTAAATCCCAGCAGACCAGAGGGGCAGGAAATGGAAATGCTTAAGTGTGAACCTACCATGCCTGAGCCAGAGGCCCTCGGTGAAACAACGACCCAGCAAACAATATCGAAAGGAAAGAGACCAAGTGACCGGCTGTTCCACAGTCTCAATAAGATTCAGAGGAGCCAGACTGGGGAGGAACTCTATCAGTGCTCCGACTGTGGCAAAGCCTTTCTCTCCAGAGCTGGCTTTATCATGCACATACGGATTCATGGCCGAGAGAAACCGTATGAATGCTTGGACTGCGGGAAACACTTCCGGCGGAGCTCGCACCTCAACAGCCATAGCAGGATCCACGCCGGAGTGAAGCCGTTCAAATGCGCAGACTGTGGAAAGGGATTCAGCCGCAGCTCCAACTTGATTTCGCACCAGAGGATGCATACGGGGGAGAAACCGTACACGTGCTCCTCTTGCAGCAAACAGTTTTGCGACAAGTCAAGCCTCGTTCGGCACGAGCGGCTTCACACAGGGGATAGGCCGTATAAGTGCACCGAATGCGGGAAAAGCTTCAGCCAAAGCCACCACCTCATCACACACCAGAGAAGCCACACGGGGGAGAAGCCCTATAAGTGTCTGCTCTGTGATAAAAGCTTTTGCGACCGCTCGACTTATATCAGACACCAGAAAAACCATACGGGGGAAAAGACCTTTAAGTGCACGGACTGTGGAGAATGCTTCAGCCGGAACAAACACCTTGTTCGGCATCGGAGTATCCACACGGCGAGGGAACTGTATACATGCCCAGATTGCGGCGAGAGCTTCTGCCGTCGGTCGGGCCTTAAGATGCACCAGAAGATTCACACGGGGGAAAAGCCATTTGAGTGTACAGATTGCGGGAAGAAGTTCAACCGCAGCACGAACCTTATTAGCCACCAGAGGATCCACACTGGAGAGAGACCCTACGGCTGCCCCGAATGTGGGAAGAGGTTCAATCGGAGGACTCACCTTGTTAGCCATCAGAAAATCCATGGGCTGAGGAAAGGGTCCACAGAAATGCTCAAACTTGGAGAAGGGCTTCCCGCTCCAGATCTCATGTCCCCGCCATCTTACATCATTACGACCATTGTTTGAGGTAGGTTGGGAGAGGGAGACCTACTGACCCAGAGTCACTTCGTAGTTCATATGGGACTGAATTTAGATCTGATTCCAGCACTTGAGGTAGGAGAGAGAAGGGCTTTCCAGGTGGCGTTCAGTTACAATCCCCATCATTCCTGACTGTTCCAGGTGATAGCTAATGGGAGCCAGGATACTACATCTAGGCAGCACCTTACCAGTGTTGTAGTTGCCATTGCACCATGTTGTCTATCACCAACAAAACCTTACCTGTCCATGTGTCTGTGAATACTATAATTAGGAGAAATGACCCAATGAAGTCATTTTATATTTGAGAAAGACCTCCAAGATTATTCAGTCGAACCCCAAGCCATGCAGGGATACACAAACTGCCTTGAATTCCTACCAGCTGCTTAAGGAGTCCCATTAACTCAGTAACTGAATGGAAAATAAAATCCATTCATTCAGTAGCCCATTTTTCCTAGAAAACAAATGCAGCACATTTTTTGTCTAATGTCATGTGTATCATATCTGGATGCGTCATCCATCCTGCTCCCTTTAATTCTCTGGTTCTTATGCTTTCCATTCCTTTACCACCAGATCAGATTGAGAGGTTGCAAATATTACTTCTTTGTGTTTTTGAAGGCTTTCATGGCCGGAATATCTGGGTTGCTGTGAGTTTTCGAGCTGCATGGCCATGTTCCAGAAGCATTCTCTCCTGACGTTTCGCCCTCAGAGGCTGTGAGTTCTGTTGGAAACTAGGAAAATGGGGTTTATGTATCTGTGGAATGTCCTGAGTGGGAGAAAGAACTCTTGTTTGTTTGAAGTAGGTGTGAATGTTGCAATTAGCCACCTTGATTAGCATTTAATGACCTAGCAGTTTCAAGGTCTGGCTGCTTACTGTCTGGGGAATCCTTTGTTGGGAGGTATTAGCTGGCCCTGATTGTTTTTGTCTGGAATTCCCATTCTCTGAGTGTTTTTCTTTATTCATTGTCCATATTTTAGAGTTTTTTAATACTGTTAGCCAGATTTTGTTCATTTTCATTATTTCCTCCTTTCTGTTGAAATTGTCCACAAACTTGTTGATTTCAATGGCTTCTCTGTGTAGTTTGACATGGTGATGTGAGAATGGTCCAGCATTTCTGTGTTCTCAAATAATATGCTGTGTCCAGGTTGATTCATCAGGTGCTCTGCTATGGCTGATTGAAGTAGTCTGCAGTGCCTTTCATGCTCCTTATTTTCCACAGCCTCACAACCTCTGAGGATACCTGCCATAGATGCAGTCAAAACATCAGAAGAGAATGCTTCTGGAACATGGCCTTACAGCTCAGAAAACTCACAACCCAGTGATTCTGGCCATGAAAGCCTTTGTCAATACTTTCTTGTTTTGTTTGCTTTGTTTTTCAACAGAAGACTGTGTTGACGCTGTCCAGTCTGGAGGGATATGTCCCATACCCCCAAATATATCACCCACTTAACATAGGTATTTTGTAGATATTTCTACACAATAGTTGACAAAGTATAGAGAAACTTTAGAAACAGTGTGAATACTTTTATAGATTCCTGGGCTGGGTTGGATGTGGTTGTGAAGACTGTGTGGTCTCCCTTTTTTGCCTATGAATTGTAATATGTGACTGTTTTCTACTTTTGTATAAAGCTGATTTTGTATTCTTCTACTTTTCCTGAACTCCAAGAATCTACACTCTTATCGTTTTGGGGTGTGGGAACACAGTTCTGGGGCAAACCTAATCTATGTGGTTTGGGTTTTAATCCAGGCTGTGAATTTCTCTTTATAAATATTCCCCATTTTGCTGGATTATAACTATAAGACCAAGAGCCAGCATAGGATTATAGGACCTGTGGTCCACCAAAAAGAGAAGTTTTCAAAACTCTGGCATTTTTCCTTGTGCATAGATGGCTGGGACAAAATTAGCAAGACTTTCTCACCTTCCTCAGTTAGATGTTAACCAACCATCCTCTGAGGCAAGGGATCACCAAAAATGGTGACGAGATGTTCAATGAATGGGAATACCAAATACAATTATTGTGTGCCCCATAAAGTAAAAGTAAAGGTTTCCCCAGAAAGTCGGCAATTCAAAACCGTGTGACAGACTGAGCTCCTACTGTTAGGCCCAGCTTCTGCCAACCTAGCAGTTCAAAATATGTAAATATGAGTAGATCAATAGGTACCACTTCTGTGGGAAGGTAACAGCGCTCCATGTAGTCATGCCGGCCATATGACATTAGAAGTGTCTATGAACAACACTGGCTCTTCGACTAAGAAATGGAGATGAGCACCAACCCTCAGAGTCGGAGACGACTAGACTTAATGCCAGGGGAAAACCTTTACCTTACCTTCCCCTTGACATTAAGCCTAATTGAGTCTGTGGGTGGTGCTCATCTCCATTTCTAAGCCAAAGAGCCGACATTGTCCGCAGACGCCTCCAAGGTCATGTGGCCAGCATGACTGCATGGAGTGTCGTTACCTTCCCACAGAAACGGTACCTATTGATCTACTCACATTTACACCTTTTCAAACTGCTAGGTTGGCAGAAGCTGGGGCTAACAACAGGAGCTCACCCCATCCTGCGGTTTTGAACCACCAACCTTCCGGTCAGCAAGTTCTGCAGCTTAGCAGTATAACCCTCTGCACCACCCTGGACCCCATAGACAAAGGGAAAATGCGCAGAAATTTCTATACATAGGGCTTCCATTGAATGGTTGGTTGGTTGGACCCATTTCTGTAGCTGAAAGTGAACTAGAAATTAGAGGAAAACTCCTCTTCTGACTTAGACCCAGGAGAGAAGCTGTTGGTCATAACAGAGATAAGGGGGGGGGGGGAAATCCCTAAACGAGATGAAGGTAGCTTCCCTTCGTTTTGAATCAAATTGATAAATAGAAATATATGCTTGAAAGGAAGATTTTGGAAGTAGTCTTCATACRGGCTGGATATAAAAGGAAATACTGCTKCTGAAAAGACTGAAGACTGGATGCTGAAGGAGCACCATGGTTGTGAACCTGCTTTCTGCCCAGGGAGTGCAATGAAATTGTCATTTGAAGTATTTGTTTGTGTATTGCCAAAGGCTTTCATGCCCGGGATCACTGGGTTGTTGAAGGTTTTTTTGGGCTGTATGGCATGGTCTAGAGGCATTCTCTCCTGACGTTTCGCCTGCATCTATGGCAAGCATCCTCAGAGGTAGTGAGGATGGCCAGACAGCCTCTAGACCATGGCCAGACAGCCCAAAAAAACCTACAACAACCCAATTTGTTTGTGTTCCATTTCAGTTAGTTGGATTTTTCTGCTATTTATACTGGTTCTTTTCTTAGGTAGGGTAAAGGTTTTCCCCTGACATTAAGTCCAGTTGTATCCAACCCTTGGGTTGGTGCTCATCTCCATTTCTAAGCTGAAGAGTTGGCATTATCCATAGACACCTCCAAGGTCATGTRGCCAGCATGACTTCATGGAGTGCCGTTACCTTCYCACCAGAATGGTATCTATTGATCTACTCACATTTGCATGTTTTTGAACTGCTAGGTTGGCAGAAGCTGGGGCTAACAGTGGGAGCTCATGCTGCCCMCCGGATTCGAACCTGCAACCTTTCGGTTAGCAAGTTTAGCAGCTCAGCGGTTTAACCCACTGTGCCACCAGGGTTGTTTTCTTATCCCCCAAATACAAAACCTTGCTATTTTCAGTGGGAAGAAAAATGGAGGGRCCAAGAGGAGCTCTGAATGCGATTTTCCTGCTTCTCRGCAGGGGATTGGACTGGATAGCCCACGAGGTCTCTTCCAACTCTATGATTCCAAGAGGTTGTAGCTTGCTTAGGACGCCCTAAGTCAGTGGTTCTCAACCTGGGGTCCCCAGATGTTTTTAGCCTTCAACTCCCAGAAATCCTAACAGCTGGTATAAACTGGCTGGGATTTTTGAGAGTTGTAGGCCAAAACCATCTGGGGACCCCAGGTTGAGAACCACTGCCCTAAGTGGATAACTGAACCGGTTCTGCAGATGCAGGGATCTCATTGTATATCGTCTCCGTAATGTTTTCATCACACCCTTTTATATATTTTCAATATGTGTTTTTTCATCCATCTTTTTTTGGAAAAAAAGTATTAATCCTGCCCATTGTGGTCGCGATAAAACATTACAAAAATGTAGAATTGAAGATTTAAAAATTAGACCTATAAATGTGATTGAATAATTGGTATTAAATGCTTACTTGTTTTGATAAAGGAGTCGTTTTTTATCATTGCTCTGCTTTTTCTGAGTGTGTTTTGGTGTGTTTTTTATATCTGAACACAAACCGAGTGGAATCTGTTTTCCTGACATTTCAATACATTGAACTGGATGGTATTAAAAGGAACTTATGAAGACCTTTAATTATTGCTAAACTGCAACTCCCAGCATTTCACACCAGTTGGCCATGCAGCTTGGGCCACATGAAAGTGACAGTAGACTGGAATTGGCAGGGTGTATGTCTGTGGGAGTTATAGTTTCCCAAGGTCCACACTCTCCTATGGGTGCATCTATACTGTATAATGAACGCATCTGGACCTTACTTTAAATATCATAGCTCCATACTATGCAGTCCTGGGAGTTATAGTTCCCCAAGGTCCACACCCTTCTCTGGGTGCATCTACAAACTGTGAGGATGCCTGCCATAGATGCAGATGAAACATCAGGAGAGAATGCTTCTGGAAGAAGAGAAGGCTGAGAGGAGACATGATGAGGGCCATGTATAAATATGTGAGGGGAAACATAGGGAGGAGGGAGCAAGCTTGTTTTCTGCTGCCCTGGAGACTAGGACATGGAACAATGGCTTCAAACTACAAGAAAGGAGATCCCATCAGAACATTAGGAAAAACTTCCTGACTGTGAGAGCTGTTCAGCAGTGGAACTCTCTGCCCCAGAGTGTGGTGGAGACTCCTCCTTTAGAGGCTTTTAAACAGAGGCTGGATGGCCATCTGTCAGGTGTGCTTTGAATGCAATGTTCCTGCTTCTTGGCAGGGTGTTGGACTGGATGGCCCATGAGGTCTCTTCCAAATCTAGGATTCTATGAATCTATGAATTATATCCTAATGTGATAAGAAGACTGTTGGTCCAAACATACTAGATGGCAGTCCTGACAGCTGGGAAGTCTAGCCTCCACCCACAGCTTTTGCTCATGACTGAAGAAGAAGATAGGTAGGTTTCGGGGTGGGATGGGGGGTCCCATGGAACAACTCTATCAAGTGCAAGAAAGAATCCCAATGGCGCATTGCATCACACCCAAATACTTGGGAGTTACCCTGGACCGTGCTCTGTCTTACAAGAAGCACATGCAAAAAGTGGATACTAGAAATAACATCATATGAAAGCTGACTGGCACAACCTGGGGATCACAACCAGATGCAGTGAAGGCATCTGCCCTATCCAGTGTGGCACACATATCCAGTGTGGCACACATCTTACCAGGTTAAAACAGTGGAAGTGGTTTTTAATGAGACAAGCTGCATTATCACAGGATGTCTATGCTCAACACCACTGGAGAAATGATACTGTTTAGCTGGTATTGCACCACCTGATATCCGTCGGGAAGTAAGCAGCCTGTCATGAAAGGACCAAGGCAGTGACATCTCCGGCCCATCCCCTGTTCAGATATCATCCAGAAAGCCAACATCTTAAATCAAGAAATAGCTTCCTAAGATCTACAGAGATACTTGCACAAACACCTCAGCATGTGAGAGTCCAAAAGTGGCAGGCTAAAACCCAGAGCCTCAATCCATGGCTAATACCAGATGAGAGACTCTCTCGTGGGCACACAGAAAAACTGTGCAATATGGAAGGTGATGAACAGACTGTACTCTGGTACCATGAGATGCAGAGCCAACCTGAAGAAATGGGACCACAAAGTGGAGTCCACGACATGCCAGTGTGGAGAAAAGCAAACCACAGACCACTTACTGCAATGCAGCCTGTGCCCTGCCAGCTTCTGGTCAAAGGACATTTAGTATAATGACACATTTTTAACTTTGTGTTTTTAAATACAATACAGCTGTACCCTTAATTCACTTCTGACATGATAAATAAAATGCCAAAGAGAGCTGATGCCTCACTAAACTACAACGCCACAACCATGACTATATAGCCAGATGTATATGTGTGTGTGGGGGGGAAGGGGGGTGACTTTGGGATTTGATCCAGACACAGTATGTATACACATATGCACATACATGGCTCAATGCTAAGGAAAAACAGGATGTGTAGATTTTGCGTACTTGATGGAAAGTATGGAAAATCTCAAAGTAATTCAGTGTTTTTACCATCTACATTCAAGTGAAGTAAATCCAGGACTCCAGTCCCTACTCACTATGGAGAACCGTGGGTGACCTTGGATAAGGTACGCTCTTTCAGTCTCACAGGAAAGCTATGGCAAACCATTTTGGAACAAAACTTGCCATGAAAGCCCTGTATCAGATTTGCATAAGGATATCCCTTAATCCCTTTAGGGAGAGAGGTGTGGGTTAGAAATAAATTTTATTTTTGTTATTATTATTTGATACACATCAAGATTAGTACACCGCAAACAAGAGCACTCTGCTGACTGTTGTATTGGATCACATGTTAGACACTTCCCAAGTGTCTAAGACTATGTGATGTATCAGCAAATAATATGTGCAGATCCGAGTAGGGTGGCCTTTTGCAGCAGACAGATGGTGATTTTTTTCAGCGCCTATTGTTTTTAAGTCTAGGTCAAAGTCTTTAGGCACTGCACCCAGAGTGTTGATCACCACTGGGACCACCTGTACTGGCTTGTGCAAAAGTCTTTGCAGTTCTTTTTATTCTAATTATTATTAATTTATTAATAATAATTTATTTATTTACTTATTTCAAATATTTGTATCCCGCCCTTCTCTACCCCCAAAGGGGGACTCAGGGCGGTGTACAGCTGGCAACAATTTGATACCTCCCATATACACACAGATAAAACAACAATTACAAAATAGATAAAACATTAATATAAATTAAAACCATTTAAAATAGTGCAAATTCAATTAGTTGGCCAAATCTAAATCTGAGTTCCACAATCAACAACTTGGTCCAAAGCCTGTCCATAGTCCATTTACCATAACATTGTCATCATTTATCAACTTATTATCAAAAATGCCTAGTCCCATGGCCATTTCAACTTTTTCCTGAAGGACAGGACAGAAGCACTTGACCTAATTTCACTGGGGAGCGGGTTCCACAAGTGGAGGGGCCACAGCCAATAAGGCTCTGTCTCTCATCCCCACCAAGTGCGTTTGCGACAGAGGCGGGATTGCAATAATTAATTATTATTAGTGGTAATTATTATTATCCCTTCAGTGGTTTGAAACAAGGCACAGAACAACCCAAAAAATCGCCAATTATTATTTTTGTTAAATGTTTCAGCCATTTTTTACCTTTCTTGGATGGATGCAGCCAATTTTTGCACTGTTGTGTGGATGCAGTTTCGACACCACTTGAACTGCTGTGGTTCAGTGCTACGGAAACGTGGGAATTGTTGTTTGGTGTGGCCCCAGCACTCTTGAGTTAGAGACGACCAAAGGCCTTGCACAACTACATTTCTTGCTATTCTGTAGCATTCAGCCATAGCAATTCAAGTGGTGTCAAACTGCATTTACTATAGAGCAGGGGTCCTCAAACTAAGGCCCGGGGGCCGGATGCAGCCCTCCAAGGTCATTTACCCGGCCCTCGCTCAGGGTCAACCTAAGTCTGAAACGACTTGAAAGCACGCAACAACAACAACAACAATAACAACAACGCTATCTCATCAGCCAAAAGTAGGCCCACCAACCCATTGAAATACTATTTGTAAAAATTGTTCTTCATTTTAATTATTGTATTTTGATTGTTTTTGCACTACAAATAAGATATGTGCAGTGTGCATAGGAATTTATTCATTTTTTTTCAAATTATAATCCGGCCCTCCAACAGTTTTAGGGACTGTGACCTGGCCCTCTGATTAAAATGTTTGTGGACCCCTGCTATAGAGGGACCCCATGTCACTCTGGGCTTGCATCAGGGGCAGCTGGCATGCCAAATGCAAGGCACCCAGGGGAGCTGATAGAGGGATGCATCTGTTCTGTGGAATGAATGCAGCTCGACTGTGTAGATTGAACTATGTAGATGCATCCCTAGAGAGCAGCCAGGTCCCCCCCTCTCCCCTGGTCCTGGTGCTCCAATGGTTAATCCATCGAGCTCTGCCAGTCTCAGAGAGGCAGGAAATACGAACAATGGCAGAGGGGGGTGAGAGTGGGCCTGGGCTGTCCTTTCCTGTCCCACCGAGGAGCCAGCCCGCCCGGGAAGAAGCCTCCTTGGCCAGCTGCTGGTGAGAACAGCTCCTTTGCTGAAAGGAACTGGCCTGGCCTGGCCTGGCCTGGATGCAAAGGGTGGCCAAGGGGCCAAAGGTGGGCGTGGGGGAGGAGGAGCAAGCAGGAGAAGGGTGCATTGGCAAACTAGGAGCAAATCCCAAAAGCATTCCCCCGCTTCCCACCCATCACACAGACAGATAGACACTGCAGTCTTGTTTATGCTGAACTTCTGCACACAGTAACATAGGGGAAAAAAGAATGCACACATAGACACATATTCACATGTATATATGTACTATATATGCTATGTGCATGCATATATGTGCATATATATATATATACACACACACATGAACACATACATACAAATCTTACCTATCTATATATACACACAGACATACATATATACATATTATACACATATGCACACATGTAAACACACTCAGACATATGTATGAATTTCCGCATACAGTAACAAAAGAAAAACAAACATCCACAGACATATACACACACTGAGACATATATGCAGTTTTCTGCATACAGTAACAAAAAGCATGCATAATTTTAGATAGATAGATAGATAGATACACATATTGATGTATGCATATAGATTTCTGCATACAATAAGAGGAAAAATACATATCTATATACACACATACATATATACGCACATGTACACATACACATCTAGGCATACATACTAATAACATAGGGGGAAAGCACACACTTTCCCTGTAATCTGCCTTGAGCCATGAGGAGAAATGCATAAGGAATAAAATAATAATAATAATAATAATAATAATGTATTAATAATCTATATATATGTTATTATTATTATTATTATTATTATTATTATTACATATATATACACATACAGAGTGAGAGACATACAATACCATAAGGAGAAAGCATATACATATACACAGACAGATGTGCAAACATTTCAACGTTCACATCCACTTAGACTTACAAATTTCTGCATACAATAACAGAAAAAATAGCACACACAGACAAGCATGCATTCTGCATCCAATAACAGGATCCCGATGCCCCCCAACTGTTTATGTTTGGTTACCAGAAGTGTTTCACTTTCAGCTAATGGATGTCCACCCTTCTTCCAGCAGACAGGAATGGAGAAGCGAGGGGGAGAAACCCAACCTGCTGAGATGGAACAGTTAGTGTCTGGTGGAAAAAACTCCAACACTCCACAAGTTCAAGCT